ATTGACAACTATCACATGATGAAGTACAGTAGTATCACAATACTAATTTTAAAATGTAAGAGCATGTTTAACATAAACAGCCTGTTATTGTTATGTTTCTGCATCCTGACCGGTTTTAAAGTCAGATTAGATCATCTCACTCTGATTTGGATCTGCACTTTAGCCAAGACAAATCCAAAACTCTCATCTCCCTGTATGATCCAACACCACATACAGAAATACTATTGTAGCATTTCTGACGAATGAAGACATTTCTAAACAATAACAGTATTTAGAAGGGACAACAATTTGGGTAAGCCCTATTTTCATACAAAAAATGGATAAAAACTTTAAGAGTTTACATCTACCCGTCAGTCTACTGTAATTTGAAACTTGAACAAGCAAAACACCAAGACTGGCTGTGGCTGTTGGACCCACATCCTCCTAAAGCCGGTCTTGGCAAGGTACCTGCTATGGTATTTGGTTCAGCTCTTTCCAAAACATTCTGGACGTGTCACTGGATAGAGACAAAGCTTAAAGCTCTTAAGCAAAACACTTTTTGTTTAAAGTTTTGGTCTTGCTAATTGACTCTTATTATGTCAAAGTAAATTTTGACAATGAAGGTGCTCAGATAATGTCTTCACTTCAAACACGTTAGTCTAATGTATTTAATGCAATGACTGAAGTGAGTTTTCAAATGTAATTGCACATTTTAAGCCGTTGTGGTGTCCAATTGTCTCTTTTTGACAAAAGCAGAGTGTGGTTTTGCTCTGCAGAGGGCTGGATCACATCTGACATAATAGTTCCCCGACTCCCTCCACCGGTTTTTCCTGAAGATGCGCCCCAGGCATTATCAGAGCGAGAAGAAGGAAATAAACCAACAGAAGTCAACATCAGTAATAAAGCCTTTTTTCATTTTACGCAGTCACATGAAAAACATTTGACAAGGAGGAAGACTGTCAAGGCTTTATTCTTTCTCTCTTTTTCTTTTATACAATGAAGGACTTTCATTTTGATATTTAGACAGAAACCTGTGAGGTAGGTAATTAGCAGTTCAACCCCCTCCAGCTTCTCTCCCTCCCTCTCCAAACAGTGGGTGTGTCTTCGTGTCTGAACACGGCGTGCTGCAGTTGACAGACGGCTGTACTCACATTTCTACCTGCCAGGTGAGACACGGAAAAATGGCCTGTCCTCGCTGCTTATTGCGCTCACCTTTCTTCAGTACCTTAAACCAACCAGGTCAGGTGAGCTGATTTACCTCTGGATTTTATTTCTCTTTATCACCGTTAAGGTCGCTCAGTTTGCAAGGAGAACACCTGCTGCACCTGATTTATTGTAGTAGTATACGAAGACGAGTTTGAGCTTGAATAAATATTTGTTTGAATATCTTCTATTTGTTTTAGTGACAGCAAGGAAAAGGACGATCAGACACACTCTCATGCACACACTGTTAAACCAAAATCCCTTTTTTTTGTGTCTTCTCTTCAACAGGATTCTTTCACAGCAGTTCAGTTGCCCGCACAGCTGGAAACTTTGCCTGGGAATTTCTCAGCTTTAAAATTTCAGTCATTGTTTCTGGTCGTGTGTGTGATGTGCATCCACATCTAAAAGTGGGAGAGAGATCCCCAGTGGGAGGACCGAGTGGAAACTTGTGGTGGTTTTCGACAAAATCAGCTCAGATTATGTGTAATCTGCCTGGCTGCTGTTGGGTTTTATTTAGTAAATCTCTGGAAGCTTCAGAGCAGCAGCCACATGGCAGTAGGCCTCATCCTCTCGTCATAGGTCTACAACCCTAAAAATCCAGTGTGCATTTCGGATGTTCTCATTAAAACTACAAGACATCCAGCAGTGAAGCTGAAGTCCTGTCTGAGCTCAGCGGCGGCAAAACACTTTTTGTTGAGAGATGTTAAACCTGCAACAGTTCAGTTGACGCATCCCACAGGAGGGCACGGCAGTGGTGTTACCACATGCACACAAACCTCCAGTAATGTCAGGTATGTTGGTGAACCAGCTCCACTTATCCGTTCTCACATGATGGGCGTCAACTCTGTACTTTCCTTGAGCAGTGGCTCAATTTAATTAAAATTTTAAAAGAGGGGGAGAGGAAAAAAAAAAAAAAAAAAAAACACTTCCAGCAAATGATAGCAGCTCATACAAGGAAATAGCTGAGCTCATTTGCACATATTTCCATCCCGTTTGGAGGGATGCATCCAGGACAGAAGTGTTTTTCTTTTCTGCTTTATTAAGAAGGCTCTTACTAGTGCAAATGTTATTTGCACTAATACAAACAACATTGTTTTGTTTTACAATCGTTTTCTGTAATTGTCGAAATAAACTCACCGTCATTAATGTCTGGGCTTTACTCATTTCAGTGCATAGCAAACCCCTTTGAGCTCCGCACACTAGCAGATTCCTGCGCAACGTGAAGCTGGTAGACCAGTAGCAGTCAGAACAGTGTGTGTGTGTGTATCCACACTTAGCTTTGTCCACAGTGTCAGTACAGATTGCAAATGGTGTCGTAGTTTTGTGTGAAGCTGAAAACACACAACCTGCACAATAACTACCATCTAAAAGTGAGTAAAAGAAATGATCTCAAAATCAAAGAAAGCAAGACGTCATTTGCAATTTTTCAGGAAAGTTTTGGAAAGGATACAGTTCTGCCAAAATGTAGTTTCACTAAAGGCAAGTTTAGGATCACAGTTTGAGAAGCACAGTCTTAAAAAAAGACTAATGGTTAGAGTTGCAACTATTACCTGTACCCATTATGGTGATATGTAGTAAATAAATTTGAAGAAAAACAAAACAAAACAAAATTGCCTTGTTTACAGTAGTTTCCTACTGCAAGAGAATTGTGATCACAACTGCTGGTCAAAAAACACAAACATCTCAAATGCATCGACTGAAAGCATGCAGCGAAAAGTTAAGACCTTTGGCAAGTATTGTAAATTAAAATGGTATGTCTGAACTTAAAATAATTAAACGATTTCAAACATTTGTTGAATATTTGGATCTTATCTCAAGTCCTTCAAGTTAATAGTAATCAGATAATATTGACATGCGTCATATTTTTCCTAGAGCAAAGACTTATAATCTTGGGGTTCTTATGATCAATAAACACAAGGACTCAAAGTAATCAGTTAAATCACTTTTTAATCCCCAATGATTGAGGCGCCCACAAGGTGGCGCTCTCTTCAAATAATACATTAGAAGTCCCATTTATAAAGGAAATGGACACTCTGCTACAGCTTTACAATTTCTCAATCATTTTAAGTCCCTGAAAAGTAACATATGGCACACATCTCATTCAGTCAACAGTTAACACAAAGTTCAATTTGACAGCTTCACGTTTGTTTCCAGCAACTCAAACGGCTCATATTTGGGTTTAAAACAAACAAAAAAACCCCTCCACATTTCTGCCTGCAGCAGGAACACTCATTTTGGAAGCCAGTTTTCTATTTCAGTAACAGTTATGACAACATAGGAGCTCAGAAGCAGCACTGAGTATTCAAAAAATATTAAACAGGTTCCCAATAATTAATTTTAAACTTAAAAGAATAAATGTGCTCTTCGTTTGTTTCCTTTACTAAAAAAACAAGCACAAAAAACAAAAAAATCAAACAAAAAAACAACAGAAAATAGTAAATTTTTCAGCAGGACTTCTCTTCATTATGATGAACTTGTGCTGTGCTGTGTAATTGTTATGTTAATTCTGAACAGGAAGGGATGTCTGCCTTTGAACCAAAGACAAAAACCTGGAAGTGACGTCAGGAAAAGCTTGAACATGAGAAAACAATGGCAGGAAAGTCAAAATTCTGTATAAAAATAAATAGAAAGGTCCCTTTGTGAACATATATAACTGGTACAGCACAAAAATCAAAAGTAATCTAGAATATTACACAATCATTTCACATATTGACGGCACATCAGAATAATAAAAAAAAGAAAGAAAACCAAACATACCACCTGTATGTGGTAAGCACACATACTTGCTTACCACAAGCAAGTGTGGCAAGCACAATTTCAGCTTCAACAGACAAGCAACGTACATGCATCTCAGTTTCAGACTGGAGATATGAAAAAGTGGCAGAAAAGTCCTTTTATACAGAGGATATAAACAAGTAGATATTTTCTTTATTCATAGAGAACATTATTGGCTTTTTGTGGCATTAGCCCTTTCTGATTATTAAGTAAGAGCCGGATTATTTCATATACAGCTGAAATGCATGTACAGTCTCAGTAAGCATGCACAGAGAAACAGTGATTCATTTACAGTCATACTACGTTCAGCTTGAAGGTACAAAGGACAAACAATGCCTCTGAAAAGCAAGAAAGAACGGCCAGGAGCCATTTAATGGGTTGTTACTGCGCTCGCTGGAACAAAATAAAACAGAAAGCAAAGCCAGAGCTAACAGCACCGCGTTAAAGGCCTGTTTTTATTTTTCTAAAATTAAGAGCAAGAGAATAAACCCCCTAAAAGTCACGGGCTGCGTGGCACATAGAGAGAGTCTGTCTATTGAACAGCACAGATGTAAAAAGCAGCTGCCATGTTGATATACAAGACACTGTAGCAGCTGGAGCAGACCGACATGTCCCACATGAAGAAACTACATGGCTGCAGGACGTCCGCCCAGAAGAGGCGTAAAGCCTTGATGATGATGATGATGATTATGATGATGATGACGATGATGGCACAATCCAGAGTAAAACAAACGTCAGCACGCAATGACCAGAGCAAGTAAAAAGCCAGGTCCTTTAAAAACCTTAGAATCATGGGAGATTTTTGTGGCTAGACTGCTCCTTTGGCTAGTGCTGACGTCATCATTAACAAAATACAAAAAAAAAAAAAAAAAAAAAAAAAAAAAAAAATGTTGTTCCAACACTCATCGACCAACAACTCAGGTTTATGGGTTTAAAAAAGAAAGGAATACAAAAGAATCCCAAGTCTAAACACAAAGATTGTTCCAAAGCTTTTGGTGAAAGACAAGGTGAATGGTCAAAAAAAGGATAAATAAATATTTTTAAAAAAGGAAAAGACTACACAAAGAAAAAGGATGGATGGTTGACAGCATGTTTGGATAAGGTACAGATCTCGAGTCACCGCTTCTGATAGGCACCTGAAAAACAACAGATATTTATTAGGATTCTTTGTGTTGGTTGATCAGGCCACTTCTCTGTGCATTTTCTTTCTACTGCTTATTTTGAAAAAAATCTAACATAAATAAAACAAGGACTTACTGACGAATCAAAAAAAATAAATAAATAAATAAATAAATAAATTTCCCGTGTGAAAATTTCTGATTATTTAAGAATACTATGAAGTACCTCTATAAGCGGCTTCTGGTCTTTGTGGAGGGCGAGAGGCAGCATGGTGGTCCGAGTAGACGTACACCGAGCTAACATTCTCATAATCATGAGTACGAGGCTGAGGAGGCCTGAGACAACAGAGACACATCAGTCATCTGACACAAACAGAATCTGATTTACTGGAGTAAAACTACTGGTTGTTAAATGGGCTTTGTACCGGACAGGTCTGTTGTTGTTTCTCTGTCTGTGATATTCATACTCCTCTCTCGTTCTGGGCCAGGCAGCTTCCTCCGAACTTGACTGAGCGGATAAATAAATAAGTCAATTAATTAATAAGTCTGTAAAAAAAGTACATTAACGAAATAACAATCCTCTAGGTAAGTCAAACAAATAGGATAATTAAAAAGTCAGTTGTATAAGTAAATAAGTCAGTAAGTAAATGTAAACAAGGCAACACATGAATACAAGTCATTTTGATTCAGGTAGTAAAAATGTAAAGAATAAAATAAAATAAAATTGGCAAGTCAATAAAAAAAAAAAACAACAAAATAGATTAATAAGTACACAAATAATTAATAAAAATCAGTAATCTCCCCCCTCCCTCAATCCACCCATTTATACAAATTTACAGATAAATAATTATGCAATAAAATAATATTAGTTAATAATAAGTTGGTAAGAAATAATTGGTCGTAGTGGTTCAATGGAGTTGGATCTGTACAAAAGAAAACTGAAACATCCTTTCTTTTTAATCGTCAAGTCAACAAGTGATTGTCGTTATGTGATCGTCCAATGCTGCAGTCAACGACTCTGCTGGGTTTCCATAAATACAAACTTTTTAAACAGCTTTCAATAATTAATAAAACGGAGTACTGTTCAACAACTAGGATTAACTGGAATGCATGTATGAATAAATTGAAACTATTTTTTGTAAAGTGCCTTGCAGCAACATTTGTTGTGAATTGGTGACGCATAAATAAAATGAATTGAATTGAATTAAAGTCCGTCATGTTGTGAAGCGGCACTGTACAACTAAACAGAAGTGGTTGGTGTGGTCACTGGGAGATACCTTGTAGTTTCCCTCTGGTCGTTTTCTCTCCATGGCCATCTTCTCCATGGCCATCCTCTCTCGTTCCTTCTCTTTCTCACGTTCTCGGTTCTTTCTGTACTCCTTCTTCTCCTTTTCCATCAAGGATCGAGCAATTTCCTGTCAGATAGACAAAACATAACGATAGCAAAAGAACGACAAGGATCCATGTCCAAAAGGATTTCATGTGCATTCAGCTGAAATAATGTTCTCACCTTAAAAAAATCTAAAAATGAGGAGACTAATTACCGTAGCAGGACTTTAATTACTGAAATATTTGTCTTTAAATAATGACAAATATTTGTCTTTAAATAATGAATGGCTTAAGCATGAATTTAAAACTCAGGTTTGTCTGTGAATTAGTCGGAGTTCACTAAACTGAGGACAAAAACAAAAAAATATATCAAAAAGATGAAAAACAAGACCTTATAAAAACTTGCCTCATCTTTTGCCACCTGAGCTGCACGCTCCTGCATGTTGCTCATTCGCTGAAACAAGAAACATTTGAAAACTTGCATTAGGATAAAAATAAATGAGGGGAAAAAAGGGAAGAAAAAAGCATCCCAGACTTGGGGAAAACAATTACAGGTTGTGCCTGCCGTTTGTGGCAAGGCGAGTTTATTTGTAGCGCATTTAAGCAACAAGACAATTCAACTCACCTTGAGTTCCTCCTCCTGAAGTCTTCTTGCGACTTCCATGTCCTTCAGCTCTTGCTCCCGAAGGTCAAGGTTTGTCAACCCCTTTGTGGCTTCGGTCAACCCGTACTCGGTGTCTGGGATAATTGAGCCACTTCCTTTGTCAACATGGCCTGTAGGAGCAACGGAGTTATGAGCAAACCCATTGGTCTGTGCCAGAACCCGGAGAAACCAAGAACCAGTGAGAATACTACTGCTTGTTTCTTCACAATCAATGAAGAGTGATTGGAGATGCTTCTTGTGATTATATAGAGAGAGGTTTATCTAATTATGGAAATATGTTTTCTGATTTACTGATTACAAGATATCGAATTGGTGAGAAGCTATTGGTATGTTGTCATGAGGCATTTTTCAAAGGGCTGCAGTCCATCTTTACTGGCGTGTATCATGTTTTGTTTAGTAGTTTCTCCTAATTTGGTTAATATTACATCCAGCTGAGCAGCCCTGAAGCCCGTTGTTAATGCCAAACCGTTCCAGTTCATGAAACCTGCAGAACATGAATAACACCCAGACTCAATATCACAAACCAGGAAACAATGGCAGAAAGAGAAAATCCCACAACATGGAAGCAAAGAGAAACATCTAAACCATCATCATCGTTCTGATCAGAGCCATTAGTGATTAGTCTGTTAGATCGACCCACCACCGGAGATTTTCACAGCGGAAAGCAAGGACAGCAACCACACAAAGAGCCGACAGGCCCAGAGGGGCTCCGGTGGTACCTGTCTCTCTGCTGGGGTGGCTGTGACTGCGCTCCCTTCCAGGAGACTCAACCTGCATGAGGTCCCGGATCTCCCTGGCTCCTCCTCGAGCCTCGCCGTTTGCAAACACGTCAAACACTTCGACGGGGCTGGAGTGGATGCGCTGCCGGCTTCTGGCCTTCCTCCCACCATCATCCTCTTCCTCCTCCCAGGAGCCCCTCTGGTCTCTTGGCCTGTCCCTGCTGTATCCTGACTCCAAAGAGTCCATATCGAGTCCTCGGTCCCTGCTCCTGGCTCGTTGTCTGTCCTTTTGTCTGTGTCTGTCTCCGTCTCTCAGTCCATCATCGCTTGGTATTCTGTCTCTGGATTTTTCCCGTTCTCTTCTCTGCCTGGCATCCTGCTCCCTTACTCTTGTGTACTCCTCCATACGTCTCTCTGTTTTATAGTCCCTGTCCCTATCATGTCTCTGCCTGTCTTTCTCCCTGTCCTTGTCTCTTTCTACAGTAGTATGTGGAGGCGGCGGTCTGGCTGGTTTTTCCTTCCTCCTCATCACTCCATCTACTTCCATTTGCCCCTGCTCCCTGGCTCTGCCAGTGTATGAAGGCTCAAACTCTGGGTACCTGTCCCCATGCTTGCCTCTAGATGGCAGCAGGTGCTCTGGATACGGATCTGCGAGCTTGCTACGGCCTCGCTCTGCCTCCACGGGCTCCGGGTATCTGGAGTGACCACGAAGTGCCGCAGAGTCCTGCTTTGGGTACCGGCTCCTTTTAGCCTCGGCAGAATAATAATCTGGAGAGTGTTTTCTGTTTGAGCGCGACGGAGAGTACGAACCATGTAGGTCTGGAGATCGAGACGTCTGACGGGTTCGTTTGTCCACGTCGGCAGATCTCGGCTCTGATGAAGGACGAAGAGTGGGGGGACGAATGGTGAGAAAAAAACAAAAAGGAAGCTATGAGCCAAGGCTGCTGTTAAGCATGCAGGTAAACGCAACACCTGTGAGGAGACGGATGGTCAAGGCACAGAGAGCATGCTATGGACGTAGGTGTTAGATGCTCGCAAAATGCCCAGAACTGTTTGCTTCGTGTTTCGAAGTTAGTGTGTGTATTCAAGAAAATAAAAATATTAGTTACGTATTCAAATAGTGCTCTCATAATACTGTGCAGCTCATTTCCTGTTCACGCTACAAGAAATCTGGAATTATTACAACAACAAACGTTCAGGACAACACCTCGGATCAGAGTTAGAAAAAACACCTCAATGAAAACCAGTCTGCTGGCTGTTGGCACGTGACAGACGAAGCAAGTGGAGATGAAAAAAGCTCAGATGAGAGTCATTGCAAAGGAATTCCTGTTATCTAACAGCCTGCTCAAATCACATAGACTTAGTTGTCTAAACGGAAAAAAAAAAGAGGGCGGAACAGAAATCACTGGTGCCTGGTCAAAGGTGATGAAACGAGTTTTAAATTTTATTCTTTTCTGTTTGGATTTTAAAAACGTCTCCTCCATACTCCATTTTCCTCAGCCAGTGTCAGGTGGAGACCTCCGTGCCGGAAACTAGCTGGTCACCGAGATTATCAAATACAGCAAAGAGCCTCTCATTTCCTGTGAGGAAATAAGAAACAAACTGGTTTCGCACGAGTGCTAATATGAGGTACCGTTTTGAGAGAAAATGTTCCCAAATGAACCCTAGCCTATGTGAAAAAGTAATCTGTCTGCGTTCATGCATCTGCAGCACCTGGGAATGAATGTTTTACATCACTATTAAGAATATCGGCTCACTCTTCTTACCAGAATAGTTTCAATTCATCCGTAAACAGCATTTCAATTAGATTTAAGTTTGAACTTTAACTAGGCCACTCCAAAACCTTAATTCTGTTTGAGTCATTCAGAAGTGGGCTTGTTTGTGTGTTTGATCATTTTACATCTTTGTATCTCAAGTGCACTTACGCTTAAAGCTGCAGTACGTAACTCTTATTAAATAAAATGATTCATTTTTTTTATTTTTACATATTTGCTAAAACTATCACTTTGTATGGTAGTATGAGACAGAATGTTGAAAAAAAATAGATAAAAAAAAATAAAATAGAGTTCCTTGTGGTCCTACTGCCATCTGCAGAAATACACTCACTTTATCACTGCCTGATATCAAAAAGTAAAGAGCTGAAATATTCAACTGTGACACAAGTTGAACATTTCTAATGGAAATCTAACATGCAGAGCACCGCTGCAGTCGAGAACGATTCGTATACCAACACATTTACGCAAAGCTACAATCCTGTAACCTGCAAGTTTCTTACTGACGTCTTTCCCACAGTGGTTGAGATGCAGAGTAAACAAAAGAGCAACTGCAGCCGCCAGCAAGATCACACTTAACCTGCTATGTGAACACACAAACCTAGCAGGGAGTTCACAATGCGAGTAGTTACGTAACTTACAGGGCTGGATGGCAAACATAGCGCTGCTGCCACAAAAATTATAACGAGAGCCAGTAAGAGCGACGGCAACCGTCACAAAGAGCTCAGGCAACACGATGGACAACAGGGATGGAAGGAGGCAGAAAGACCGACGGCAGCAGACACTTGCCCAGTCCTGTTTATGTCAACAAAGGGGCCAGTGTCTTTGTCTACACAAAGCCATAAGCACTCAGCAGCCACTTTGTTGAGAAGTGAGAGTCACAAATATGCCAGCTGAGGAAACCTGAGGATCAACACACTTCTTAATAAAAGAGAAACGAAACTATCTGGTAACCATTGAGATAAAAAAAAAAAGGTTTACATCTTCCCATAAAAAATCTCAATGTTCTGGAGGGGGAATGTCAGAGTCTATTTGACCTGCTAGATTCAGCCAGATGAGAGGAAAGAAAGGAGGAGAAAGAAAGAAAGAAACCACACCTAAATTCCCACCCCCCACCGAAAAACTTCAAGGCCGTGCTCAGACCTTGACGCTGCATGCTTAAAATGGGAAGAGTTATTTTCTACAAAGAAATCTTCATTTTGAAAACTGGAAATGATGTTCATTAAAATCCGTCAGCACGGGGTGAAATTTACAAAGCGCAAAAAAGAAAATGACTTTTTATGCAATCAAAAAAAATACGGTGCTACAGTAATATGAGTCATACATATTAGTGGGATGGGAATGAAAAACAATGTGCGACACACAAAGATGCTCGCCACCATATCAGAGACGTGTGACTAAAAGCTAAAACTTATGTTTCTGAGGTGTAAAAATCACTTAAGGATTCATGGGGTGTTCTTATAATGAATTCCTTAATCACCAACACTTCTGCTCATTTATAATTAGACAAAGCACATTAAAGCTGCAATTCAAGCACACTAAAAATCCCTTTACATCAGCGGCTGCACTCCGTTCTCCCACGAGTCTAATTCTAGATCTTTCCCTCCAGTCAGCAGCAGCAATCTTAAGGACCCCGATGAATCAAAGGCAAATCCTCTCACGTTTTCAGCAATGGAAGGAAACAGTTGTCTTGAAGAAAAAAAAAAAGCATTTTTACCCCTGTAGTCCCACATGAGCTCATACAGGCATCAAAAGGAAACAGCAAGACATCAACATGAGCTGCGGTGAGCTCCCCACCTCCGTGATCCTCAAAGTAATCCTCCTCATATTTTGCTTCCATCTGTTTCTGTCTCCTCCTTTCCTCTTTCATCATCTCCTTCTCATACAGCTTTCGAGCGATGGCCTGCAAAAAAACAAACACAGACCAAAGTGAACAGAAAACTGGATAATCTGTAACAAATGTGTTGGATCAGAAACAATGGGGGTAAGCAAATCATCACTCCATATTTTACAAGTATCAAAATGAGGAACAGTGTTGTTGATGGTCTTTTAGATTTACAGACACTTTCATGGACAGTGGATGAATCGACTAGAGTCGAACAATTTATGCCAGTTGTTTAGGAAAGCTTATTTAAAGATTTTATTTTATTAAATGGTGAGATGACAAGAAAAAGGGTGAAGAAGGAGAGGGAAGTCATGCCGCAAATGGCCCAAGCCTGGGAACCAAACCCAGAGCAACAGCGCCGATGACTGAAACCTTTGCACATTTTAAACATTGTCTCTGAGAGTTTGTGTTTCTTACGGCATCCTTCTCTTCCTGCTGTCGCTGCTGCTCCGCCTGTCGGACTAGTTCTTCCTGAATCTCCTGCGCGATCTCCACGTCCTGTCGCTCGCTGGGATTCCCGAAGAGTCGGTGAGTCAAAACAAGAAAGAGAAAGGTTAGGATACGAGCAAGGTTGCTATGGTCAGTTTAAATATTTCAAGTGAACATCAAAACGCATTTTTTTTTTTTTTTTTTTTTATTCAGATATGTATAATCCATCCATACAATACAGTAAAGAATTTCTGTGTGTGTTTTAATTTTTTTTTTCCTTATAAAAGCTTTGATGTCTGAGATTCAGAATTTCTATAATTATTCAGCTAATAAGCACTGAAATGCTTCTGAATATTATTAATAAAATACTTCAAAGCAATCCTTGGGTGTAAAGTGTAATCTGGAGAATAACCAGAGATGTTGGAGGAGTTTTTGGCAGGAGCTTCTCTGTGACGTTGGTCTCAGAAGGCTGCCTTGGCTCGCTCCTCTGCAAACATGTAGGCAACACCATCTGACTGGAAAGCTGTCACTTAAGGGCAGACACCACAGATTTTCTACCCTGCGCTGAACCTGTAACCAATCTGAATGTTAATGCAGAACGAGTTGAGCTCGATAAACAGGAGGGTAAAAAAAACAAAAAAACATTAGCATCTTAATATAAAGTAACCAGGTGTCTGATTTTGGCGTTAGTCTGCGAATGCCTGCTTGGAGGCCTACGAGTGGGAGTGCATGATGTGGCAGTAAACAACACGTTGCAGGATCAGTGCTCTCTCTACTGGAACAGTCCATACAGGTTTGAAACAGCACTTCATACGCTGACATCACCGAGTCAACAGTGTCACCGTGATTGTACAAATTGAAACTTTGCGGAAAGAATTTTCAAATTACGTTTCGAAACTCGTCCAGCAGATGTCATCACAAATTTGATTGTCTTCTTACTACTAAAGACTGTGGCACTGAACTCAGAATCTAGCAAATTTCTAATCAATGCACACCAGTAAACAGATTTAGGTTAGATTTAAGGCAAGACTATGTTCCGTTTTATCATTAATCTGGTTTGAAGATCCTATGTGTGAAACATGTAAACACACGGAAAACAACAAAGAGCTACATCTGATGCGTCTTCTGTGTTTGCAGGCAAAGGCAAAAACGTCAACAGAGAGAACAAAACTGTAAACAATGCAGGAGCGGGTTGGGATCACTCCTTGCCCGAAAGTGCAAATAGATCCATTTTGCTTAAAAGCCTACATTTATCATGATCACAGGCCAAAGACTCGTTCTTTGGCATTTTCTTTCTATTATTTGCCTGTCAACGTCTCTCTCTTTAACTGTTTAACAGACTGACGGATGGGCCCCTCCCCGTCAATCCCACAATGCATTGGGTTGTAACATCTGTGGTAATTCTCCATTTGCCTCACTATTTTTGTTTTTATGAACACCATCAGTGTCTAAGAAAAATGTTTAAGATTTGCAATTCAAGATGATATTTCATAGTTCTCACAAAGCAAAAGGCAGATTGTGTGTGTGCATGTGTGTGTGTATTGTTTGGGTTTGCTGATAAGGAAGTACAAATGTGACAAAAAACCCACTGCCACTAACTATGAGATAAAATTAACTTTTGTTTGGCAAAGATGAAGAAAAATATATTGGAGTTGATGATTTCATTGTGCAGTAATATCTAAGGCACATTTTTTATAAACAAATATGCAAAGTTTTCCCCTTTATCACCTTATAAATGCTATTCAGGAATGGGACATTCATTGCCAAAATAAGAAGTATGAGCTACAAACTTCAAAAAGCTCACAGGGTAAAAAAAAAAAGATACTTTTGCAGCTGCATCCAAATAGATACTGTAATTTATAGGCATTTTGTAATCTAAGATACCCACATGTCACTGTTCTGTTTCTGGTTCTGAATCTTGGCTATCTCGTCCTCCTCCTCCTGCAGCTTCTTGGCCACCTGCAGGTCCTTCTGCACCAGGCGGTTCTTATGGACGTTGGAAGCCAAGTGACTTTCGACTGCAGACACAAAAAGACAAGCACTGCTCTGAAGAGAACTGCGTACACACAAAGTGAAGACATGCTTCTTTATAGGTTTTCCTATCCGACGAGCTGTTGGGTTGTGAAAACCGTCTACAGAAGACAAGATGGACGCTTGGGGAAGCAGACACGTTTGGGTCTCATGTAATGGAAAAAAAAAAAAAAAAAAAAGCACAACTCGATTCATTGAGAAATGAAGGTTTGCAGCTGAGGCGTCTATCCAAGGTTACACGATGGCACACTGTGGCCGTACCAGATGATAAATCCTGCTTTGCTGACGCACTCGCTGCACTTTGCAGGCATGGAGAGCATCAGTCACTCGCTCGGCTCCGTTTCACCCAGTTATTGATGTGCTGCCAGCTTTGAGCGAACAGGACCAAATCCCATTTGGCGACTTAACAAAGAGAAGCTCCTATACGTTTTTGTCCTACGCAGCTGGGACCGAAAGAGGAAACTGAGTCATGGCTGTGCCAAAGTGATGAAGGGTCAAAGGGTTAACATTGATTTTTCTTTGAGAGGTTTTGATGACTTGAACCCTTATGGAAACTGTTTAAGGGGATAGTTGATGTCACAACAGGAGTGAGGTTTACACGTCATTCTGTCTGCCATCGATTCGTCTTTTGAAGGGAGGAGGAATGAAAACACAAACTTTAGTTTGAAAAGACCTCACTTAAATCTGAGATGAGTTAACACTTGAGCTAAGCTTTAATGAAGAGAACAAATTCCAAACGCTGACGGAGCCAGGCGGAAATTATTTCCATCTGACAACGGGATGCTTAAGTGCATGAGCAACATCTGAAATGAAAATAAAACCAGATGCTGAATAGAATTGGATGAGATGGCGTCAACCAACTGTTTTTAAAAAAATAAATAACTTTGTACATTGAGTGGACTAGCATGTGACATTAGCCAGTCTTCGTCTTCAGGGTCAACGGTGAAATGAAAAGATTTGTAGTGGCACAATTATGTTTAGCTGGCGATCACCGTGGATTTAAATAGGAAACACAAAATGATTCTCTCCAACACAGGCTCAGAGTTGAGTTAGGTCACATCTGGTCAGCTTTAGTGCATAATTAACTTTGTTATAGTGATATCAAGTGTCATATTGATGACACCGATAAAAAAAAAAGCCCATTGTTTAGCATGTACTGTTTTTCACCATGTAAACAGAAACTAACACCATGTTTTTTAAAAAAAATAATAATCTGAGCAATGATGTGTGACCTTTTTAAAATCAACAAATAAGTGGCGCCAAAAAATATGTGAAGATGTTCTTTGAATCTAGACTGATTAGGGAATTTAGATTTGTCTGTCCATCTCAACAGGAAAAGCCTTTCAGCCAAACTCAGGAGGAAGCAGATCAAACCAACAAACATCAAGATAAAAAAAAGCAACTTCTAAAGAAATACATGATGTGATTTATCTAAATAAGGTAAAAAAAATTAAATAAAAATCAGCAGCCAGGGAACAAATCCTTCAAAATGACATGCAGCTTTTTGTTCCGTTATTATGTAATACAATTCCCACAAACGGAGCTAATGGAGCATATGGGGACTGACACACAAACACACCCAGTTATTACAATAAGGCAGATTCAAACCAGACCACCTTTGTCCTACAAATAAGATAAGGCTCCAAAGCAACTGCAAGCACTCTGCACCATTCGCTCGGTTAACTGTGCAGGAGAATCTGATTTTGTGTTAGTTTAATGGGGGATTCATCCACTGACGCTGCAGTTTAATTTTACATTTATTCTGCAAGTGGGGCGACAACATGGAGCACGATGAGTTTTGGAAATGCCACACTTCAAAAGAAGCTTTTATCTTTCATTTCAAAGAGACGAAGAAGGCAGCATAATAATAATAAAAAAACAATAATCAGCATTTGAAGAAACTTTACAGGTATTTTTAAAGTTTTCTCTTTTTTTATGTAGATTGGTAATTGGCCAAATAAACTTACATTCTTATTCCAATATTTGGAAAAACCTATTGCTGGTATAAAAAAAAAAAAGACAAATTTTCAACACACTTAGCAATGAGCATGCATGACAGCATGCAGTCCAAGCCTCATAAAACCCAAATGTTGCACTAGAAATAACACACACATTACCAAACGGACTGCTTCACCAGCCCAATTACATGAGTGCAGCATGCAGCTGTGTAATAAAAAAGCAAAGTAACTGTTCAATCATGTTTTGTGACTAAAAGCAGAAACCCAGATGACAACATGATATTGTCCATCTCTACTGAAGACACATTTATTCAGCATAAGAGGATTCAGAGACTGAAACAAAGCATGTCTGAACTGTGCTTTCTTACTTTCTTGTTCCTGGAGGTTGTAGGCCAGGGAGTGGTCTTCCAGCACAGCAAAGTCTTTGCATACTGAGCAGGGGAGAAAAACAGAAAAAAAAAAAAACACAATATATTAAAATCTAATTCAGTTCTTAAAATATAATTTATAATTTAAATAACTGAATGACATAACATTAAGAATGACATGTTTTTCACATCTTTACAGTGACATCCCGTTCATCTGCTAACAACAAACAGTTCATTCAGTTTGCTGATTTTTATACGAGACAAGTAAATAAAATCCAGTATGGTCTGGACAGCTTGGTAAGAACACGATTCATGAATAATTTGGAATCGATACATTTTTAGACAAAAAAAGTGTATTGTATCCCATCGGTTATAATGGACAAGTATCAGATACCAAACTCAAACGTCTCTCTGCTGGCTCTCTAAACCTAGAGACAGAGAGATTTAAAGAGTGGCAAAAGCAAATGAGGTGGATTAGCATCGCTTGCCAACTCATTGTGTCAGTCAGGACATGATACAATCTCAGCTGCCCAGGAACTGAGCTGTTATTGTATCCAGCAACAGTCTTTGTTTAGAGATCTTTTCTGAATCATTGCGAGACAGACTGCTACAGGAGATCCTTCCTGCCCACATCATCATTCACAACAGACCTTTGAAGAAACATGATACGAGTTAAGGTCGATTTAATTTATTTATCCTTTGGGATAAATAAAACATTTCTGAACTGAACTAAATTTGCTAACAAAAAAAAAAGAAAAAAAAATCTGATTTAGGCAGCCAGAATTGCAAAGACTAATGATGGGGTTGGCATCTGGGATAGTTGACTGATTCAGCTTTACATATTAAAGAAAAAAATACACAGAGACGCACAGAAGAGGTTTTCCTGGAAATACCAATTTCCTTCTTCACCTGACATGCTGATTCAGCTTTTTCTTAAAAAAGACTATAATATACAAAAGATCTGCTGCCGGTTTCTTGATAGAGGAAGATAGTTTGAGTGTAACAAATGATGAAGATGTTATTTTTTTAAAACTGTTTATGCATCAAAACGTATTTTCTTAAGTACAATTGCTGTTAGTTGATGCTTTAATAAAACAAAGGTAATGACATTTTTAGTTTTGATGCCTTTAATGAATTTAAGTGTGGACCTGTTGTTTAGCAAGAACACTTCACCAAGAGGAAACTCAGTCATTCTGATCTCTGACCGATTGATTAGTGCAGCTAAAGTTTTTTTTTTATTTATTTATTTTATGTTTTATATTTGAACAGAGATGCAAAGCCAAACTATGTTTCTCAGTCTTATAAATAGGGCCATCATGTTGTGTGAAGAAGAAATGAAACCATAAAACAGGAACTACCATTTGCACTAAGACCAAAAAAAGGATCTCAACATTTTAGTTAAATATAATTCTGTCTCTTTTCTTCATGTTAGGCAAAAGCCAAAAAGAGCAAACAGCTATTTTACAAAGCAGCTGATTAAGGAACCAAAAACTGTTGCACAGCTCCATGTATCACTACACAACAAATGAAAATACAGAAAATATTACACAAAATCTAGATGTTTTACTATTTTAAATTAATCAGTAAGCACTACCTTGATGGCATCAAATCTGACAACAATCACTGATCATTTTCCACTGAATGCAAACCTACAGCAGCATTTGCATATCTAGTTTCAGTACAACTACTGACGGAACCAGTGTGGTTTGAGCAATCCTCCTGAAAACAATTCCGTTTGAAGAATGGGTGATTTCCACATAGAAAACACCCAGCAGTCCCTCACATCCATCTGAAGGGTTCTGAAATGAGCCCACCAGATTTTCTTTTCTCAATTTATTTTAAGATCTGGGACAAACTCGTCTCCAAATGCAGAAAGTTTCCTGCGTGGGAGAGCAAAACCGGAGGATTAAAACTGCGACTAATTGTTGATCCGGGCTGAAGTTAATTACTTTTGCCTCTGCTGGAAAAACTAAACATCACCCTTCGCCAGTGCAACATTTAGCAATGGTGTCATGCTACAGGAAGTTGTTCTTGACTCTTCATCTCTCTCTTTAGTAAGGACTGCTCTGAAGCAATAAAAAAAATATCAGGCGAGAATCAGATGTAGTAGATGGCTAAACAATGACAAGAGAAGGCCATGAAATCCCCACACTGACTCCTGCCAGCCTGGAATTTGATTAACAGAACACAGACATGACCATATGCTTAATCCTCTTAACCAAAGAAGCCTAAATGTTTTGTTGCTCATTTGCCCTTACCTTAACTGCAGTTTTAAGACTAAATTAGGGTTTGTGGGACAGCTGCAAAGAGCAACACTTTGGCAAACGGTGTTTACAACACCCATCTACTAGGGACAGAAGTATTGAAGTTTACGGCTGAGGTTAAGGCTCATTTAGACACATATGGTTGGAAATCAGAGGAGCATTGTATGCAGAGATTTTATAAGGCAATAGAATAAACAAACTCAACTCCTGATTAGGTTAAGTGGACACCTTCTTTAAAAGTCTCTTTTTAACACCATGTAAAGGAATAAAAGACAGTCATAAGTTACCGTTATTAGAGCTATGCTTTCCAAATAAATATTCCCCTTGCTACTATTTCTATGGCTTAAAATAATTTAATTGCCACACCATTGAACACTAATAGCCAGAATTCCATCCAGCTATGTGAAGCGTATGGTAGAGCAGCCTTGTCTCTCTCCAATATGTTGCTGTGCACTTCCAGTCAGCTGGATGAAGGAAGTTCACTACAGCTTTATGGGAATATTTCCAATTCTTAAAAAAACACCAGCAGTCATGGGAAAAACTAAAGATGTAGCAAAAACAACAATAAACATGATAAATATCAAGAATACAATTGTATAAACCAGCATGTCACATGATTTTAGTAGCAGCAAGATTAACTTGCTTTTCTGTATTATAAAAAAGAAACTTGGGTAATTTGAGTACACAACATATTAATGGTAGTATGATAATATTGTGCTGTCTTTTTTTTTCCTTTTTTTTTTTTTTTAGTAAAGGTTATTGAACCTTAATCAAGGTTGTGAAAAAAAAATCTCAGGCCAGATTCACAACTTCTCCGACTGCTCTCTGCATATTTGCCTCTGCGGACATGACTGAGCAGTAGAAACGCAGGTTTCTTCTCCCTCTGACCAGAATAACAAGCATGGTGCTGAGCAGCTGCTTCACACCGACAAGCATGGGTCGTTTAAGCACAACACGCACCCAGTGGCGATTCACAGCTGGTATCAGTAGCAATAGGAGGACACCGTTTCGCGCCTGTTTGTTATGTTTGGCAAGTGATTTAAACATATTAGAGTAAAGACAAAAATGTTCACAGCCAAAACACAACAGGGTTAGTCAATGTGTCATAACTGAGCTTGTTCTTCAGAGCTCTGGATGAGCAACATACCTAAATAATCAGACAACAACTCCATGTGATCAGCCTCGTGTCAGCTGACCAAAGAAACGCCACTGTTAGAGCCATATTCATATTCACATTTAAGAATTTTTACTTTAGCCCAATGACTGAGAAAACGCGGACACAATAATAAATGTTTCTTTCAGTCATCCTGACAGGAGGCAGATTTCCAACGGAATAAAAAAAAATGTAAAAATTAAAAAAAATATCTACGACACCTGCAGATTTGGCTAAGGATGGTGTTGTCTATATGCGAGTTCAGTATATTCAATACTGCTTGATATGCTAGCATCCGTTAGCTCTCATCACTGCCAAAGCATTTGAAAACAAACACCTGCAATTACTGGTTTAACGTTATCTCTTAGATAGTATCATCCATCCGCTAGCTAGTTTCGCATTTATTTGAGAAACGCGTTATTGGCATTACCCTCTTTCACTCCAGGTAGTTTTTTCTGGTCGATGCTAACGTTACATTCAGCCATGTCGTCTCCGGTAAGAAGTCAAAAAAACCGCTGACTTTCGAAGGTTAACGGCAGTCCGGTGATTGATCGCCTTTGCTCGTAAATCCCGGATTGATGGTCCAGGTGGTGGACTGCTGTTTTGATTAGTTTCGGTCACCACCCTCCGCCGATACGTCGCTGCTCAAGAGCTAGCGTGTCAGATTTCCGCCGAGCGTCCCTCCCTCCGTGCCTGACCGTGGACGCTTCCGACACCCTGACCACCAAGCCAACGAAAGCTACTGCACTTCCGGAGTAGATATTTCAAAAATAAAAGCTTTAGGCTTCCAATAGTGCAATTTATTGGCGGTTCTTGCATGAATCTCTGGACAAGTCCTTTCTTCTACCACCACACTTATACAAGCTTATATATGCAAGAAAACTTGTAAGTTGTTGTCTTTCATGTATGGTATTTTCCTACCAAAATTTAGTACTTTAATATATTTTTATTAAAGTGAAAGCAGAATGTAGCCATTACTCAAATTAGAGTGAAAACATACTTGATAGAAAAAGAAAGACAAAAAAGGCTATTCAAGAACTGAATAACTGACTATCAAATATTTTTAAAATGATGGATTCAGACCAATCAAATTATACAGCTCAGTACTGAGCTGCAAAATATACAGCTCAGTATTTTAAAGAAGTAAAAATTATTCAAATAGCATTATTACATAATGAAAGGCTTTTCCAAATGAAAATCTATTCTTACAGTAGGTAGTGTATAAAACTTGTAAGTACTTTCATGGCAAAATCTATTGTTTACTGAAGTCACTTGACCTTCAAATGGCCACAAAAGACTCAGCAGATAAAAAATAACATTAAAGCAATGGTGATCAAACAAGAATACTCACGTTAACATTAACTGTAAGTTTGCATCTGTGTCTAGAATTTTTGTTTCTTTATTTATATGTGTAAACAATCACAGAGTAGCCAGGAATTTCAACCATAATAATATTACCTGAATAAAAGTAAAGAGCATAGTGTAGTGAAACATTTTTTCAAAAACATTACTCACGCACATGCAACTGAGTAAATGTAACCAGTTGCCACCCAGTTGTCCGATAGATTTGTTTTTGCACCAATGAGTATGGTAATTACGAAACTTTTTCTTCTTCCTGCTCCCTTTTTCAGTTGTGTAAGTATTGTAAGTAAATGTGTTTGTGAATTAATGATGAAATTTGCTCAATCGAATAAATTGATTGACTGACTGATTGGTCAACAACTGGCCTCACATATCACTGACCAAGTTCACAAATAAGATAAATCTTAGCTTATAGGACTATATTAAAGTGCTTATCTTTGTTCTTAATGTCATCATTATTAATATGGTTATTAAGTTATAATTGATCATTTTTCATGAAATCATAATTATATGTTTACACTGATTCTAGTACAATATTATGAAAACAGAAAAAATAAGACTTAAATGTGGATGGAGTACTTTGAGATATTATGGAAGAACACAAGAAATCAACCACTAAGATGATAAACAATGAGAGTGACACACTTGACCAAACTGTGATATATATAATACACTCTATGATAAGAAAAAAAAAATTGACAGAAAAAGCTAAACAGGCAAAAAATAACAAACACAATCACAAAACATAAAATAAATGAACAGATATAAAGGAAATTAAAAAAATTCACACATTTACTTTAAAAATAATCCCAAAAGATCCCATCAGCACGGTATAATGTATTTTTCACTTTCTCATGAACACTGACAGACTGTTGTGCGTGTGTACTGCATACCATAAATTCAAAGCTGTTTCTCTCCAGTCACACACAGATAAGCAAATAAGAGGAAATGTGGGAGTTCTGTCTCTTGCTCAGGGACAAAGTGACATGTGATGTGGCTGAGAACCACGCTGAACTCATTCACAGCTTCACCCGAACCCATAAATAGCTACACAAATGTCCAGAAACAGACACAATAAGAATAACCTTCGTCAGGATTCAAAATAACCCATAGCCATGAAAAATTAAAGCATGCAAAATCAAGAAGATAGACTTTAGTTAACTCTATATGTGTTGCAGCTCTGTAGTCTTGTCATTTTTATAACTGTAGGTCAAATTACAATCACTCTAAATGCACAATCCTCATCCGAATGACACAAATAGGACAAAACACAAACACTAAAAGATGCCTCTAGTTGTTTAAATTAATTTTGAAAGTCCGAGTTGACCAACTTCCGGTATAAGTCCGACTACATGTGCTTACATTGACAATATCGCCTTTGAAGGTTCTGTGACTGTTCATTGCTGCACCAGCTGCATCTTCGGTCTCTAAGGAAATACTGGTGAAAAAGCAGGGATCCAGCTGATAATGCTTGCGACACTTTTGTGTGGGGGTATCATAAAAATAAAAGTTCGTAAAGAAACAATAAATCCTCCTGCTTGTTTGAGACTAGTCGCCCGAGATTGCTTATGATCACGCCTTTTCATTTCTGTAGCTGCCATTTCCCACAAACTAATGCGACATCACAACAGCACAGCATATTTGGAATTAAGTTAATGTGTTACTGCTCCCTCTAGTGCTTACCGAGTCAACCTGCTGGTCATGCATAATTAAAGCAGTTTAATGGGGAAGCTGCAGTCCATTTACCAACCAACATATTTCTACAGCCCGTACTAAGAGTCCGCACCTTAACACTTAAAGTTTTATTTACCATCCAATACATTTCCCCAAACTCTATCACTCCTCTGAAAGGGACAGAACATTGTGCTTAACCCTAATATTTTTTTCCACACATTTTTACCTTACAAGCACAAACCTCAATATGCATAATTAGTGTATGTGATAGATCAGGATTATATAATCCAGGAAGGCAAGAAAAGAATACGTCCATTCATCAGCAATACCCAGAAGTTGACAAAGAGCCTACTGTGCCATTTGGTAGTCAAATTAGTATGCATTAAACAGTACACATTGTCAGTGGAAGAATTGTATTGTTCTTACACACAGGTAAGTTAATTGTATGTATATAGAACATTTTCAACATCAAGGTAATTCAAAGTTCTTCACATGAAGAACAAAAAAAAAAAAAAAAACTTTTACTTTTTTAATTTTATGCTTTAAAGATTTAATTGATATTGCAAGAAACTATGTTTTTATAGAAATGGTTGCATAGACTGGATGTTGGCATGTTGCCTTGCATCAAGAAGATCCTTATTTGTTCATATCTTGGCCTGATGTCTTTCTGCGTGGAGTTTGCGTGTGAGTTCTCTCTGAGTATCTGGCTTCCTCCCACATGCCAAAAACATGACTTGGATTAATTGGTCTCTCTAAATTGCCCTTGGGTGTGAATGTGTGTATGTAGGTGGTTATGTGTCTGTGTTTCTCCAGGGTGTACTCTACCGCTCGCCCAATGTACCATTATCAGATACGGTAGTAAGGTAAGGTAAGGTAAGGTAAGGTAATTTTATTTATATAGCACATTTTCAGCAACAAGGCAATTCAAAGTGCTTTGAATAGGCACATGTCCCCATTTAACTCTACACTTATTAGTTGAGAACATTTTTTGGTTACTCTAGTCTGCTCATCCATCCATTGTTTGTCCAATGGATGGGTGTTGCCTATCTAAAGCAGCCACTGGATCAGACCTACCTTCTGTACAGATCACTCGTCCCTCGCAAAACAACATACAGACAAAGAGGACAAACAATGATGCTTACACCCACTCACACCTACACAACATAGGTGTGTGTCTGCACTCACACCTACGTTATGAGTGCAGACACACACACACACACACATACCTAAGGGCAATTTAGGAAACAATCATCCTAACAATCCTGTTTTGGGACTGTGTGAATCAGACTATATATGGCAACATACATTTTGGGAGACCATGCATAATAGTTTAAAAAAAAAAAAAAAAACTAGGTTAATAAAAAATACAAAGGGGTGTGGCTCTAATAGTCCCAAAAATGAAAATAATAATAATAATTTAAGCTTCAAAAATGTGTTTGCAATTCAGGTTGCAAATAGAATTCATATAATGCTTTAATTCTCAAGTCACATCAATTTTCATCATTAGAAATTAAAGAAGCATTTTTGTATACTTTAGAGAGAAGGGAGTCACTTAACTACAAGGGGAACAAAGGTGGTTTTCTGGCATTGAAGAGGAATCAGTAGTAAAAAAATTGTGCTAACCCCATTTAGAGTTTATTCTAACACTAAATAATATGTTAAAATGATTAAATTATTAAACTATTAATTGCAATCAGGTTTACTATGATTTTAATTTAAATTACCTGAAATTACTCTCATCTACCATTCTTTCTTGTCACATACTAGTATATCTTGACAGCAGTGAGGAGTATTTAACGACTAAATGACTTCAGCTTTATGGCTTAAACTGAAGACTCTCAAGTTTATCACCATACAATTTTTGCAGGTGATTTCCCATATCACACCTGCACAGTTTCTGCTCCGTAGGCAGATATGGGCAACTTTACTTCCTTAACATGCAGGGAAGACTCCTGAGACCCATCAGATGTTGACACGATCCCAGTGATGGATGCTCCTTCTGCCTTGAATCAGTCCTGAAGATTGAAGATCTCATCTCTTCCTGTGGCACTCCAACAGACTGAACCAATTCACTTACCTCTCTTCACCAGACCAACACACTCCCATGTTGCTATTTAAGGAAGCAATTACGGTAAAAGAAAAGCATGTGCAGGTGCCAAGAACATTTGACAGGGGTCTCTCATAACCAAGCTGCTGATTGATAATTTCCTATCACTTTGATTTGGCCATGTCAGAGTGATGAAGGGTTACTGCCCTGCAACTGCAACGTCACAGCACCGTATTTCATTCAAACGCTTCACGGTCTCTATGAGATTGTGGGCTTTTGACGAAGTCCAAAGCGACTACTTGTTGATTTAAGACTCAAGGAGCGAACTGGCTCCTCCTCTCAGCTTAAAGACATATAAATGTTTACTGGCTGAATGGATCCAAAGGAGAGGACCCCTTGAGTTGTGTGAAGCGGCTCATAGTGCAGGAGTTCATTGAGAACCATTCACCGAGTGCCATGGACAGAGTCACAGTCACAAACTGCTCTCTGGGACTCCTTGGTTTGCTGTTACTGCAAGGAGTGATCAGTGTGGAGGGGAGGAGCATATTTACCTCTGGTGAGTGTGCAAAAAAATGGAAATGCTGTGATCCTTCATGGGGCTGAACAAAATATTTGTTTTTGCTTAAAGTGTGATTTTCATTTGCTTTGTATGTTCAGGGAACCATGTTTTTAACCTGAAAGACGACCCAGACATTCAGAGCAAGATTATTGCATTGCTGTTTCACAACACCTTGGCTAGTGGTGAAAAAGACGTCCCACTGGGTAGGTTAAGTTCCTAAACATGCACATTACTTCTGAAATCAATTTTAAAAATGTACATAATAATCTAAAAATAACTGTTCCCACTTTTGCAGGTGTGAGGCTGGGTAATAAATTAGCTGATCTTGAGGAGGTAAGACCGTTCTCTTTTTATCTGGGATGTTGGGGGCTCTTATTAAGATGTTGCACTATCTTATTCTTTGATGTATTTGTTTTGTAATGTCATTTTAATTAGCTGTTTTTATTTATTTTCTCCCATAAAAATGTGAATTTCCTTGTATATGAGTGGTACTTCATTAGTGAGGTTTATTTGACTTGCTTTGATAAAATGTGTCAAGAACATAGCCTACATTTTCAAAGTACACATGCGGCACCAACTAAACACAGCTTTTAATAATGATAAAATAGATAACAACAACAACAGTTTTAATAGGTCCGGTCTGTACTTATAGCTGCGTACAGTGTGGGAAGACCTGGAGCTGGAGAGGAAGATTTCTGCTAATGTAGCCGAGGACAAATCCATAACAACAAAGCGTGGAGAACGTAAGTTAAATTACAACCAGTCAAAATGTAGGAATGCTTAATAGCTATTGTGAAACTAATTTATTCTGTCTGTATGTTCTGTTACCCACAGCTTGTTTTTGGAAGTACTGTGTCTGACGAAGACAAAAGGGGAAAAGAACCGCCAGGAAAACTTGCTGCACTGCTCAGCATAGCCTTAAAACCTGCAAACACCAATAATTTGAACAAACTGTATTTATTCCAGCAATATAGTGATGTACATTTCATATCCCCCTAGATGCTGTCATGAAACCTCTGAGTGATGTTGCTTTACATGTTACCCAACAGGAATTTTATTATATAGCAAAAACATTGTTGAAACATTGTCGAGTGGATAGATGATCTTTACCACATTTAAATTTAATCGTTTTTGTTGCCCTCTTGTGGCAGAAACTGGTCTAAGTTTTTATCAACCTAACTACCAATCGCCTCACTTTTCACTGTATTTAGAAAGGAACCATTGTTTGTTTTATTGTGTAAATAAAATGTAATGTGTATCTTTACTTTTTTGTTTGTTTTAAAATTTCTGAAAAAAATAAATTGCAAAGTCTGTTAAGAAAATCCTTTTGTTCATCAAAAAAAAGAAAAGAAAAAGAAACTATAAAAACAAATCGGATCTTACCACTGATTAATCTGAACCAGTAAATTGCTACATCGAAAAGTCATTTTCAAAAGTTCAAGAGCAGTGAGACAGGATCATGGCACATTGAGTAAGGTAGTTATTTTTGGGTCAGCTGTGCTTGTTTAAACACATTTTATTCACATGCAAAACTATTAAAAAATGTATTTTCAGTTTTAAATGCACCACTAAGTCACACAGTTCTTGTTTAAAGTGTTTATTATTATTTACCTTCCACAAACCTGATACATTTTGAATTTGAATTTATGTTTCATGAAAATCCATGCATGAAGTTTCATGGATGGAAATAAAAGTTATTAAAATATTTTAAAGCTTTACCCACTTTTTAAAACACAATCCTATTAATCTGAACAGAACTATTAAAAAAAAAACTGTACAAAGGACAGATGGTTGGAATAAGTTTCATATCTTTCAGAAGTTTAATCAAATACCGCAAACATTTATTAGACTTTTCTTAATAAAACACAACAAAAAAAGGCTTTCACTTCTTTTATTTTTGGTTTTCAAGCCCTGTTAAATATGAGTACAGTGAAATTATTTTATAATCAAAGGTGAGCAATTTTAAATTAATGCTAGTTTAAAATATCACATCCATTGAAAACTTATGGAGAAGACAATGACAATGATGTAGCCATCAGAGAAAGGAGACATGTGGCATTTCACAGTAACTCTATCACAACTGCAAATCACTCATAAATACCACCAGTATGTGAATTCATGCTTCGGTTCTCTTGCCGTTTGGTATCAACGGCTGGCAGTTGCCCATCAGCCCTGTCACTTCAGCTCTGTCTCCGGAAGGAGTTTTCTCTTTTGTTTTTCTGTTGTTGTTTTTTTTTTCAAGGAAAAACAGAATTATCTATTCCGGCTCAGTTCATAAAAAGGATGCAGAGAAAGCTGCTTGCAAGATAAGTCCACATCAGGAAATAAAGAACCAGCGTCTTATTTAATTTATATATAGGAGGCTCAAAATGTGGAAACAATGTCAAAACATTAAGACTTCCTAAAACCAAAAATATACACGATAAATCAATTGTTAGAGTATGTTCATGGTATTAATGAGGACATAAGCATCAGGCATTTTTTCAGGTCACCACAGTTAACCTTGCGTGTGCCTGTCTGTGTTTATCAACGTTAATGACGTGATGTCTTTCTGGGCTGACATGTTGGTGAAGAAGAAGGTCGGAAGCTTTGACAGGCAGTGAGAGCACATCTCAGTTAGACAGCAGAGCGGCTCAGAGCACAGCAACCACCGGACCGTGATGGAGTCCTGCGTCAAGGGTTAGTTAAAACTTCCTCTCTTCTTCTGCTTTTCACCTCTGAGTCAGTTTTGATCCGTAGTAATTGCTGTCTAAAAATCTTAAATGCTCATCATGCTGCTCCTCTCTAAAAAAATGATTTATATATTCAACACAGGGTAATTTCTGAATCTCTATCAAAGCTAACCTGCCAGTTTGTGAATGAAAACTTGTACTTTTTATTTTAATTACACAGGTACGCTGTGGATGATACTTGCCCTCTTCACTCTGCCTCTCTTTGATTGCAACACGTTTTGCCCTAGAGGCTGTTTGTGCCAATCTCATGGTCACTTTTTGTGCAGTGACCGTGATGGCAGAGATTTGCTGCAGCAGCTGACTGTCGATACATACACTCTGCTGCTTGACAAGGGCAATATGAGTGTCCTCAGTGAGAAGAGTCTGGAAAATAAAACTCTCCTGTTGCGCCTTGGGCTGACCAACAGCCACCTTCACACCATCCATCCCTTGGGCTTTCATGCAGCTCCTCAGCTCAAGTCCATCAAGCTGACAAACAATGATCTGTCTACTCTTCCTGCTCGGGTGTTCAGTCCTCTCTCTGTGGTCGAGGAGATTTACTTAGATGGAAACCAGCTTGAGATCATTGGTCCTGATATGTTTGAGGGCCTGGGCGGGTTGCTGGTTCTGGATCTGAGCCGCAATAAGATTAGAGATCTTCCTCCAGACATGTTTGACGGACTAAGCAACCTCCTTCTTCTCAACCTTGGCAGGAACAACATAAAGAAACTATCGCCAACAATTTTCCACACCCTGACTAAACTTCAGCGACTCAGGATATACTACAATGAGTTGGAAGTGTTGGAACCGGGGATTTTTGATCGGCTCAAGAGCCTCATTGTTCTGAATCTCCATCACAACCAGATCAAAAGACTTCCACCTGGCATTTTTTGGTCACTGGAGAAAATGACAGAGCTCACCCTGTCCTACAACCAGCTGGAGGGTGTCCCACACAAGAGCTTCTACAACATGCCAAAACTTAAAAAACTTACAATTTACAGCAATCCGCTGTTATCTTTGCCAGACGAACTGATGGGCCACATGCCGTACATTACACAATTTTATTTGTATGAAACAAACCTCGTCACGGTTCCTGGAAACCTGTTTGCCAACATGTCGGGACTGCTGGAGTTGAACTTGCATGTAAATGAGAAGTTGAGGTACTTACCACCAGATCTCTTCTGCTGTCTTCCCAACCTTGTAAAGCTCTCCCTGAGAAACAACAGTCTTCGGGATCTTCCTCCCAACCTTTTTTCCAAGCTAACCACACTGCAAATACTCCTCCTCAACCAAAATAAATTGAGGACCCTACCAGAGAACATTTTTCAGGACCTCACATCACTTGTTACCATCGATTTGAGAAGCAACAGACTAAATACACTTCCTGGAGATATTTTCTTGTCAAATACAGCCTTAACAGCTGTTACCCTGAGTGACAACCCCTGGAGATGTGATTGTGCTATAAGAGAATTTTTAAGGTGGATCAGAAAGAATGATAACATTGTTCTTGACAAAGATGATGTGATATGTCACAGTCCATTTTATAAGTTGCTGCGAGGTCTCCACAGGCTGCCTGATGACGAATTCAGCTTTTGTGATGAGAAAACAACGGAAAGTTTATTTCTGACACAAACTGTCTCATATGAACCCACCCAAACAACATATTCCACTTCTGTCACTCCAACTACGGAATCAACCACCTCAGAAACCACAACATACTCAGCGATGGTTTATACCTCCAGCTCCATTCAGGCTGATGTAATTCCCATTGTCTCACCTGTTTTTCATGAGATATTGGTGGTTGAACAGGGGCCTGAGTATGTTCACCACAACATCCACAAACGCTGGGTGTATGTGTGGTTTCTGCCATCCAGTTCGGCTTCGGTTGGATCCATAATGTTTTGTTATGTCCTTCTTTTAGTCGTGGGTTTAGTGCTCATTCTCGCTGCCATGTATGGCATGCATCATCTCGGCACAGCCATGGACAAGATAAGTGCTGAGTGTGCACAAAATGAGGAGGACACCATGTTATCAGACTTGGTGCACGCTTGAAGATAAACACTTCTTTTCCACAAGCATTTTTTTTTCCTAATGGCTACTATAGTATGTTGTCTTTTTCGCTAATGTGGCTTTAAAATGTTACAAACGTTTTGTTTGCTTTTTGAAGAGTAAAAACGGCTTTACAAGCCATATAAGAAAAACATACGTGTTGTAAGAAAAAATAAATATCCTGGACGTTTAATGGTATTTTTTTTTCTCCTTCCACTTGTTATTTTGACAGTTTGAAATGTGTGCACTTTTCAATTTTCAGTAATCAGCTTTTATGTTACATCTATTACATGCAAAAGATATTATAAAGCAAACTTGATGGGCAAGTCTTCATAGCCTTTGAATCAGAACAAAATTACTGCAATATATTATATCCAGAAATGAATCTATAAAAGAATAAAGAACTATTAAATGGGGATTTGTTCCCCCCAGTGGCTGATGACATATGTGAACAACTGTCTTTGGAGAGTGTCAGTACCAATGAAAATGTTGCAACAGTTTGGTAATGTAAAAGTACAATTACATTGATGAAAGCATATTGTCACCTTCCTAAAATAATGGCCTAAGTCATTTTTTTTTTACTCAGTACTCAGTCTCTGGGAACAAAAGTGTCCATTATTTTAGGGAGGTGGCAACATTAAAATAAAAATATAACTTAAATATAACAGTGGAACTGAATGTAATGGTAACTGCTGTACTTGATGTGAAAAAGTATTACTTATTTCAAATGCAGGTCTTGGTTTCATGTAATGAAGACAAATAATAAAAATATTCTAGTCAGCTTTGTCTTTTTTTAGTTGTCATTTGAACAATTTCAACTATTATTTGAACATCTGTGAAGATGCTTGTTGTGGTGCATGCTGAGCTGCTGCTACAGAAATACAGTGAAGTGGAAGTAAGTAGATAGTTAGTCTTTAGTAAAGTCACTTTTAACTATATCTTCAGATCAGAAAACAAAAATCTTTGTTTTGAACTTTAGCTGCATTTCCTTTAGCTGAATTTCCTGCATTCCTTCATTTAGGCTTCATCATGATATAATTCATGTCTCTCCCACCTCTAATTACCTCTGTCTTCCACATCTGTTATCTGTTTCTATTTCCCGTAAGTCCTAACATTTAATCTGTAGAAAACCAAAGAACACTGCCAACACTGCACCAATACATTAATGTCAATAGAAGTAGAGAATAACACTGCTTACGCTTGCACCCAAAACATCTGTCATTTCTCACCTTAACTTTATCACAGTTTGGGTGATAAAGTTAAGGAAAGTTACGCAGTCTTTTGTAGTAGATGTCAAAACAGGAAACAGATTGAACGGTGATTCAGATCTCACAATAGTCAGTGAGTTTTTCAGATGACATTTTTCTTTTACAAAACAGCCTCACTGTAATTTCTCAAGATAAAACCACAACTTACAGAAAACCACACCCAACCCAAGCACTCTGTGTCTGGGAACAGCTCAGGAGCATCTTAAAACAAAAAAAAGACATTTGAAGCTGTTTCAGTCAACTTTTAGAATTATATGACCAAAACTTATTAAACTGAAGGTTATATTTTTAGCTCACCAGTAACTACATTTAGACTCATTCTTCTGGTGTGATGTAACAGAAAAGTTCATCTGTTAAATCGACAAACAAGATTCAGACTAATTTAATCCACAGAGAGAGCCAACACATGCTGCAAATTCCATGGGAAGCGATGAGAATTTAAAGCATAAAGCAAACAAAAGAGGATAAATTGGCAAACGGGACCGAGTTCATTGCTATGACAACGGGTGATTAGGCCTTTCCAGTACGCTGAGCCCACACAACAGTGGGCGCCAGCACATTGACCAACACTGCGAAAATAGGTGAGCAAGGGAACAGGAAGCTGCAGATCTGACCAACATCTGACTCTGTGGAAACTATGGAAGAGCTATGAGAAAAACTGTTGATTGCTGTCTTTGAGATAAGAAGAGGATTTACTTTTGATGAGCTTACAGGAACCTGCTGTTTTGACAGACTCTCAAACGTAAACACAATAAGCTACTCCCTTAAATCATCCGAGCTTCACTTTAGCACAGAAGTTAACTGTTAAATTTGGGTATTTTTGCCAAATATTTTACTCGACATAAATAGTAAAAATGAAATCACTATCTTTTAATTCTAGGATTTTAAAGCATTTATGTAAGTTTTGGGGGAAGACATAATTGTCTCAAACTTTTCTGTTTTGTCATTATTAAATAATGACGATGAAATAAGATTAAAATTGTTTTTATGTTATGTTTCATCTTGTAAAAACTAGTTCATTTATATATTTCAACCCTGAATTTGATAGTTGCAACAATTTTTTATTTTTGTTTTTACCAGGTATGCAACATCTTAACAACACAGGCATAGTTTACAGATTTCTTCAAATGATCTCTAATAACAATTCACGTAGAAAGACTAGAAAATGACTAGACTAGACACTGAGAGTAAGCAATTAACCTCAAGGATTCACAAATGAAATATGGTATCATCCAGATAAACTTGAATCAAATTTTAAAAAAGGTTGATAATATAGTTTTAAAATGACTTGCAAAGTGCAGACGTTTTTGAGGTTTGGACCTGGTACCATGGCCTGAGTTAGTAACATTTTTCCAAATCAAAACATCTCTGCTGCAGTATGCTGGCTCTGAATGGTGAGGATATACAACTCCACCCATGCAGACCCATGACAGGAGTTGAACCAAGGACCTTCCTTCCAGAGCCGGTCGAGAAACTAAGCAGTTGCCCTTTGACCCTTGTGCTTCAGAGAAAAGCTAAAAAATGTTCAGGTTTAACACAGACTTAGAGTTTTAACATTTGTTGATTGAGATTGGGAATACTAATTCGTTTTATTTAAAGAGTAACCCCAAAAGAACTTTTGTGTACAGAAAAACTGTACAAATAACTCGTTAAGTGTGCTACCTTTTATTAGTGTGCAAATTGTGACATTTTTGTGTACATTTGTTTAATTCTGCAGTATTTGTTCTGAAACCGTCAAGTCTTTCTATCGGTCACAGCAGCTTGGTGTAAAACTACCTCACTTCAGAAATGCCCCAATGCAAATTAATAGGTGGACTTGGGAGCATGGTGAACATTGACTGATATTGTGTCTTCGCTTTGCACAGGGGTGATTCATTTCCAATATGGGTCTCCTTTCTGCTCTGATTGTGTTCAGTTTGACTGCGTGAGAATCACTGCTCTGTTTAGGAAGCACTCGCTTCTCACTCAGTCAGGACAGTTACTGTAGTGGGATTGGTGCTTCCCAGTCAAGTTGCTTTTTTGAAAAAAATAAACAAACATACATGAGACAGATCTTTCTAGATACCGGTTCAGTAAAGCTGAAGGTGTTTTAGATGCTAAAACCACCTCAACATGACCAAAGGAGTCAGTAAAAGCAATAGTCTCACAAAACAATGTTTTAGTTTGCCTTGTTCTAAAATGTCACAGTGATACAATCATGTCCAACATCGGGTTTGCTGTCTTGAAGTCACATCAGTCCATACGTGAGCTCCACCCATGTTATCTGTTCCCCAATGGTTTCCTGTATGCGAGTTTGAATGGTGAAAACAGCAGTGACAGTAACAGAAGACGCCCTGTCGGTACATTTAAAATAAAGAAATGCATTGTGTAATCAATAATACGCAGACAAACTTTTTTCTTTGATAAATTTCTTTAATTGTTCCTTGTATTACATTCTTTTTTAGACAGTATAGTGACAAAATGAGAAAGGTTTCAAGACATAATTTTGTACATGGATGACAAATAATAAAACGTTTTTTAGAGAAATATACTTTTTATGCTTTTTGTTGCCGCACATGTTAAGCGAGAACATGAAAAGAAGTGTATGTACAGCTGCATGCCACCATACATAGAGCTGTTTTATGAGCATACCAGAAAAGGGACACCAAAGATATGTGCAACAGATGTTACATATACCCTAAAAATAACACACACAGCACAAACACACAAAACCTCCTCCTATTGTTTTTGACAAAAACTTTCATCCTCCCTGTAAGGTTCCTTTACTGACAACACAAAGCTATAGAAACACACACACACACACCCACGCACGCATGCACTCACTCACTCATAAATAAATCTAAAATGAAATGCAGACCTCTCTCCCCTCCAACACCCACGCTTGGGCAGCAAAATCAGTTCAGACCGGGAGTAAAACAGTGAGGTTGGGCTTGTTCCCCTCTACTTTTCAAAAGCTACAAAGAGGCATCAGAGCCACTGAACAGTCCCAGTAGAGCTTCAGGGAGACGGAGAAATCCTCAAAATTCCCAGGGCTTAGAGAGAGAGAGAGAGAGAGAGAGAGAGAGAGAGAGAGAGAGAGAGAGAGAAAACAACCAAATAGCTGATTTAAGGGAACCAGAGGGCAGGGCAGGGCAGGAAAATGTGAAAGTGTGACAGTTCAGAAGGAAACTTTGAGAGGATTAATGAAGCAGTGGAAGGAAGGGTGTTGTGCATAAAAGACAACCCAACCAGTTCACTCTGCTCAGTGATCGACAAGGACGACTGAGGGTAAGTTCTGCAAAAACACTTTGTCCTGTTTGTTAGAGCGCTCATCATAAACAAGCATAGAAGAGATTCTGTATTATGTAGAAATGTGAAACAAATATGAATGACACAAGAACTAAGTTTTTGTGTTAAAAATAAACCCATTGGTTTTGTTTAGCTTTCGTTCCTGTTATTTCCTCATTGATAACAATTTGATTTTCCACATACTTTTCCTAGATTTAGATTGAAAGTTTGCCTGTTTTGATTTTTTGAGAAACACTTTGTTTTATTGGCCAGCTGTGGGACAAGCATGAGCCTTTTATAATGGAATGAAAATGCTTTGCCCATTACACCAGACTGTGGATCCATCTGGGTTTTTCCAGTCTGAATATATAAGTACAGACACATGGTTCAGCCCACACTTTGACAAGAGGAGCATTATGATTCTCTGCCTTGCTATGATGAGAGCAGGATTCCTGCTGGTTATACACTTGGATAAAATTATGCACCTTTGTGTCCCTATAAGCTACTGTTACATAAGGTTCAGTTGTGATTTTATATTGTAACATATTCCACTAAGCCACATACAATAAGAGAAGTTATTCATGGTTCCAAATACTACCAAATATTATAAACCATACTTTTTTTTTTTATGAATTCTCATTTCCAACTCATGTTACTAGTTAAGTATATTCAACACTGGTTACTGATTTTTGTTTCCCAACTCTTAAGATGTGTGTCATCTTTCATCCACAAGGGGGTGCTGCTGCACCCTTTGTTCCCCTATTTCCCCTAGTCTTGAATATTTATACAAAAACTCAATACTTGACTAAATACATAAATAATTTACTACATCTGGAAATAACAATTTGAGATGATTTTCAGCTAATCCATGAAGACTAAACTGTATCTTTACAATTCAGAAGCAAAACATTTGCCATTGTTATGGGACAAAGTATTGTGCATGTATTTAACATCCTATGTGTTTATTTAATTGTGACATTTTGACCTAACAATGAAATTGGTAAAGACTATGCAAGTAAATGTATTATGTCATTAAACAAGCAGCAACATTTGAATCATAATTAAGTTGTTTACTCTGCATGAACAGAGCATGTACCACAAACTTTAATTGGAAACAGGCATAACGTCCTAAAACTGAGGTAGTTGGGCGTCTCTTAGAACCTGTTTTATAGAGAAAAAGAAAGAGAGAAAGGAAGAAAGCCAGCAAGAAAGAAAGAAACAATGAAAGACAACAGAAACAAAGACAGAAAAAAAGAAGAGAAAGAGCAGAGATACTAATCCTTTTAGAAATTCAATTATGCAAAGATGCTTGTGATGTGTTTCTCTGTATCTTGGACACAAAAAACAAAAAAAAAAACTGTGTCCTTCACAACCTGTCTGTACCTGGTAACCAAAGCCTTAACAACCATAAGTAGAGCAGTCAAGCCACGTGTGATTCCAGGTCCGCTCAGCTTAACAAAACACACAGTAACTCGGCCGTTCTCCGGTCTAAGTGTGCCACATGTCTGTTTGTAGCCACAGCCCCTCTCACCACCCTTCACTGAAGATTTGCAGGCAGTTTCTCAATAGGGGGTTTTAAGAAGGAAAAAGAAATGTGCTGCCTCGGCAACTGACCTCATTAGAGTCTTTTTGGAGAGTTTGTTCCTTTGAGAGGAAGTAGCAGCTTCCCAAAGTGCCTCAACCACTAAGAAATGGCTCACGTTTCCTTGCCTCAAGCCACAGACGGATTTGTGCAAGGAAGTAGGACATTATACTAAACTTACCAGTGGCATAACAAACAGGGGAGAACTCGGTCAACTACAGATTATCTTTAATGGTGACAAACAAAGAAAACATTTAGAGATGTACTATTCAAAACAATCTTCACCATTCTATTGAAAAAATATTTTTGATCATTTCAAAAAAGATAAATAGCCATTGTAACATGTTGTTTGAAATTGTTATGTTTCCAAAAGCCCTCTAAGCATTGTGATTTAGCAGTCAATTGGGTCAACAGTGTTGGCAGGCAGTGATCCTACCCACTGGCAACACTGGATCAATTCATGCTAATGTTTCCGTCTGGCATAAAACAACCGCTGAGGAGGCTGCACACACAATTACTAATCTGTAGGTATGTTTTCTGTGTTATGGTGTTGATTTATAGGATCCCGTGGTGGCATTAAAAACAATCCAGAGCAGTTCAAGACGGACTCCATAACTTTCGTTCCCATGGAGGAGAGCAAAGTGCAAAGTTTTCAAGAGAATATTTCTTTAGTAAATTAGTTTAGTTCAAGTTTCCCTTATAAAAAAATATATCTTGTAGTGTGATTTTTTTTATTTTTCAAATGTAACATTTTACCGAAAACGTTTTTTATTTTGTTAGGTTTTTTTTGTGACAAAACCATGAAATATGAGAGAGAGAACTCATAACTTTCAGTGTAAAGCTTCATTAGGTGCTCCTTTCTCAAACAAAACAAAAACAGGAACAAAAGCAAAAAAAAAAAGATAATTTCTTTTAAAATACACCACTGATTCAGTTGAGTGTTTTTATGTGAACCCACTCAACAAAAGATTTATTATGTTGTAAAAAAAAAAAAAAATAATAATAATAATAATAATTTTAGTACATGTTACTATGTGTCAGAAGAGGGCTTAGAAAGTAATAATACAAAAAATAAAAATAAAAATAAAATAATTAGACCAAAAGGGCACTTGGGGGCAAGGAGCAAAGGGGGCAGGTGCTCAAAATCTGCACGTGTCTGATTTTTGTCATATCTGTGAGAGTTGAGTAAAGTAGGATTTTCAAGTTAGCACTTAAAAAGCAAAAGGTTGGGTTGGGAACTTGCAAAGCAAAGTCAGTCAGCTTGATTTCAAATACTATAAAATATACTGGACATTCTAACCTATAAATTAGGCAACTTTCTCAAACCCAAGGTATATCAATTAACATTAAGTAAACACTGAGCATCCTGTTTTTTAGAATAAAAGAATGCTAAAATGTAATGTAGCTGTAATGTTTTAAAGCATACTGAGAGTGGATTTAACAGACTTACACAGCAATCCTATTCAATTATTGTATCAATATATCTGTACTAAAGGACTTCTTTCATCGGTGGAGGGACTCTGTGACATGACTAGTTTAATCATCAGAGAGAGACAATGTACTATTTACAACTTTTTAGCTGTGTCACCAAATTTTGCGACTTTTCATACCTCTACTGATTTTTTCTTTCTTGTTTTTGGGAAGCATTGTATGGTGTGGAGCTCTCTCACATGGGGACTATTTTTCTTTTGCATTCCCTCGCAATAAGTCTTGCATTCTCTCGCATTAAGTCGTGCGTTCCCTCACAATGCGCTTACTGCAATATTTGTTGGTCTATTTTGTTTACAGTCACAAATGTCAATTTAAAATTTCAAATATATACACATATAAAGAGTCTCAGTGAAAACATGTTTATTCTCAACATTTTGGTGCAAAAAACTGATTAAATATTGATTTATTCACTGCATGTTTATGGCTGTTTGTATATGGTTGAGATGAAACTGCACTGAAAACATCCCTTTAAGCTATTCAGACAAACATAAAAGAGACACAATCAAAACTGTCAGATGACTGATTGCCCCGCGATAATAACTCAGAAATAGTCCAAATAGTTTGGATGCATTGTTTCTTTCTTTCCTACTTATGTAAAGTTTCTGCTTATATCATAGATTTGTGGTGAATTTCTATCTTTTCCTCAAGAAAAAGATATAAAACATCAGATATTTCACAATGAGATATTAACATACATGGAAAAACGTTACAAAAACCTTATATAATAGCAGAAAGTACAATGGCCAGCGTAAGAAAGACTTACAGTATTCAGTGATGCCGCATGAACTGATCAGTACATTATTGCAAGAGAATGCAAAACCTATTGTGAGGGAACGTAAAAGTTTTGTGAGATAATGCAAAAGTATTGCTAGGGAATGCAATGAATTGAACGCAAAAGAAAATAAAATTTCCCATGTTCCCTGGAGGGCTCCGTATGTTACAGAGATGGTTTGAAATTTCCCAAACAAAACTAGCAAACAAACGAAAAAATACAAATATGAATCCAACGAAAGTCTTATGATTGAGGCTCCTGTTAACGCAATACTAAGGAGATTTTTTTTGTGCAAAAGTATTGATAGCATAGAAACACTTAAAATAAAATATCTGATAAATTACTTATTTTTTACTATTTCTATAACATTTCTTCTTCTTCTGTTGTAGGACCAAAATGGATGTGGTAACTTCTTTGCTGCTGTTTTTCTGCTCTCTCGGTGCTGCTGCTTCATCTTGTATACCTGAATGTCAATGTCATGAAACAAGCATCTTTTGCCAAGGCCTCTCTGACTTCCCCACACATGTGCCCTCATCTACCACCCAGATCCGCCTCACTGGTTGCACATTTCATTCTCTGAAACATGAAGATCTCACTGATTTTTCCTCTTCTCTTAAGCAGTTTTTGATTGCAAAAACTGTTTTGAGAGCGATACACCCTGGCACATTCAACTCTTCATTAAATATAAATTTTATCGCAATAACGGAAACTGAACTACAGGATCTCCCTGAAACATTGTTTGAAAAGCTACAGAAGCTTGAGGGTTTGATTCTGAAAACCAACAAGCTCTTTGCAATCCGGCCAAGGTGGTTCTCCCAGTTAACAGAGCTAACACAACTGGACATAAGCAAGAACCGCTTCATTTATGTACCAGAGGAAAGCTTTAATGCCCTAAAAAAGCTGAAGTTCTTATCACTTACTTCAAACAATGTAACTCAACTATTCAGTGGCACATTCAAGGGTCTTTCTGAACTAAAAATCCTGCGCCTTAACAAAAACCTTCTGACGGAGCTTCCAGCTGACCTTCTGGATGATCTTGTTGAACTGAATGAACTGAGTCTCCAGGACAATCTAATTACTTATCTTGACCCTATGCTGTTGTCAAAGACTCCGAAGCTACAGAAACTGTTTATCTCCCACAACAGACTGATGTCTCTACCACAGGGGATCTTTTGTAATTTGCCTCTCCTCTTCCAAATTTCCCTGTATGAAAACATGCTGAATAGTCTGGGTCCAGGGATCTTTGGGCCAATGGTCCTGCAGGAGCTGTGGTTGTATGACAACAAACTAAGCCGTGTGGACGATGACACATTCAGGAACCTGACTCACTTACGTCTTCTGGTTCTCAGTCGCAACCAGATCAGCTATGTGTCTGAAGGTGCCTTTAGAGGTTTGACACAACTCGGGGAGGTCTCCCTGCACTCCAATCGACTCACAAGCCTTCAAGCCAGAACTTTTGAAGAACTGCCCAGTCTGGTCAACATATCTTTGGAGCACAATTTCATCACCTCCCTTCCATCGGATTTTCTGAAGCACCTGAACGACCTGGGAGAGATAGACCTGCGGAACAACTCGCTTCCTAACTTGCCCCAGCACAATCTAGATTCACTTGCTAAAGCAAAGAATGTCCTTTTACAGCAGAACCCCTGGAGGTGTGACAAGAATATTTTGCCTCTGAGGAACTGGCTCAAACTGTACCCATCCAAGGTCAACCAAACCCTTGTGGTGTGTGAGACTCCTTTGAATCTGCAGGGTGAGATAATAGCAATGCTTGCAGATGAGGATCTCTTGCCTGTCAGCCCTTCTAAAGACCCTGTATCGGCCTCAACTGAGAGGACGAGACCCCATACAGATCTCCCCAAACAAAGCTCAACGTCAGCTGAGGTATTGACCACACCAACATCAGAGCAAGAGAATGAGACCAACGGAGGACAAGGGGGAGGTGTACAGACCAATAATATTTCACTTAGTCTTATTGCACTTGCAGTGGTGTCCACTGTCATTATCTGTTCAGTCATCATTGGCTGCGTTTGCTGGAAGAGAAACAGGAGAGGAAATGAAAATATAAGCCAAATGAGTCGGAATTCAGTGCTGTAGACTTGATCACAATCAGAGACTTTTAAAACGAAGGGAAACAGTTGATTGTAGATCCTCAAAGGCCACACTTTCAGTCAGTATTTGTCTTCTGTTATGTGACATGAACATCTCATTCACTAGCTGTAAAGTGAAGGACCATATAATGTTGTGACAAATCAACACCTTTGTGTGAAACCTTTGTGTGTATCTGGCAATAACCATGACAGTTTGATACTGATTTCTCTATAAATAACAATCCAGTTGGTAAGCAGTTTATCTTTTGTGGCATAAGGGTAATGCAGTGTGTATTTGACTCCACTATAACAGTTTTAATGCAAAATGTCTCTGTATTCTGAATAAATTGACAACTTTTGTTCTTAATAATAGACTGCTTTATGTTTTTATTACTATAGATATTCATATTAACAACATGGCTGATGTATAAACATTATCTCAGAAAACATGAAAGAAAATCTTATAAATAAGTTTGACTGAAAGAAAGCTTTGCGCGTTACAATGTTCATTTTGTTGACAAAACTTTTTAGTGACAGTTTTCATCATGAGTCCTTTTTTTTTATCTCGACAAAACAATTTTATTTAGAAACAAACTAAATAAAATATATTTTCCTGAATGAAAATGTGGATATTTTCTTTGAGACTATTTTAGATTTTGCTCAAAGCAGAAAGTAAATTTGTGTCTGTTTATGGCAAACATAACAAAGACAGTATTACTCTCAAAGATATGAGACCATTTATTAATATTTGGATGAGTGAAACTAGATTGAAACTAAAATGACAAAAGATGATTTAGTTGTGATTAAAAACCCAACTACAACACCGCCATCTAGTGGAGGGAATAAAACTTCCCATTTTAAAACCTAAATTTACCAGACTGCATTGCATTGCATGCAAAGACCAGGCAAAACAAACGGATGTTGAGCCGTATGACCATCAACTCTCTGCGGAGGGAGTCAAAGACAACAATCAGAAAGCTGTAGATAACATTTAGATAGTAAGAGCTTGTCAGTGTTTAAAGTTGTGCTTCCTGCAGCTATTTTGAGAATAGAACCAGAATAAAAGACTAGCTGCATCTTCTCAAAACATAAATGCCCACAAATCCCAAATGCTTTTTAGGATTGAATGCTTTTTTTAGGCTTGGTATTCACATGTTGTAGTGGAATGTTTACTACATTTTACTGAAATACAATTTATTTAGCCAAAATCCAGGAAGCACAATGGTATCATTATATGTATTTTTTTTTTTTTTTTAGATTATTTATTTGTTTGTTTTAATTCCATTAGTCATTCGCTCAGAATATGCATACAGACAAACCCTGGGTGACAGAGGTTTAAGAAACTACATTGCTGGGGTGCTCTGGTGGTGCAGAGGCCTTAGTCCTTGTGGCTGTGGTCACAGGTTCAATTCCTGACCTGGTGACATTTGCTGCATGTCTTCCCCCTCTCTCATTACCCTGTTTCCTGTCACACTACTTTCAAATAAAGGCCACTAAAACCTTAAAAAAAATACATTGTTCCAGTCAGCCATAATAAAAAGAGTCAGCAGGAGCAGAAAAAGCTTAAGAAACTTTATATTAATTTTGACCTTAATCAAAGATAATGAAATTAAACTTGCTTGTGACCAATGCAGAGTGTTCTTCCAGTTTGAAGCATAATTTAAATGCAGCGCAGTTAATGCAAGCAAATGACCCAAACAAACAACAGAGGGAGGTTTTTATGGACCATGATCCAGTCAGAGTGAATACAGATGAACAAAAGCAAACTGGAAACACGCAAAAAGCTTGTAGGAATTATGAAAGGGGTTTGACTGAATGTGAATAAAGACTTTTTCAGCAATAATTGAGATTATATATATATATATATATATATATATATAAAACAATATAATATAATATAATAATAATATAATATATAATAATATAATATATTATATAACAATAACTAAGCCATCTTTTCAGAGGTCCCTGTCTGGTTTTCTTTCAAAAACAAAACAATTTTAAACAAATCATATTGACTCTTAAATGTAAGTTTTTCTGGCACCGTACTACAGAGAGATGCAGCAAGCTGCTGTCCCTGGTCTTATCTCTGGCTCCAGAGGTTTGTTACGCCCCGCCTCACATGCCTTTACTTATTTAAAGGTCTACATGTCTGTGTTTTGAGATAAGAAATGAAACTGCGCTCATATATGTTTCCTTATGGGTCCATCCCAGTTGCAAAAGTATTAAGGTAAGAAAAGCATTTGTTATTTATGTGTAAATATTAGATTTTGGGATTTATTTTTTGGTCAGTGGTTTATATTGTTATCATGGTCTCATATACATGTTATTTATTACATCTGTTTTTTTTTTTTTTATTCTGTCTTTGTTCTTACTTATTTAACACCAACCTACCACACGGACTAAAGATTAAAATCAGCCAACTTACTATAATTCCAAACTTCAACATGCTAATTATATTTATTGTGATGTTGACAAAAAATATATATATTTTAATGAGAACTCTACTAATTTATTAATTAGTTAATAAATTAGGAATTATAATATTTTCCTCTTCATTTTTTGTAGAATGTCAAGAATGTTGACTGGAGGGATCATCATTTTCCTTTTATCTTTACTGGTTGACTTTTCCGTTACTCAACCCGGACAACAAGACAATCAGGAAGTCTATGGCGTGTCTGCAACAGAAATCCCCCGCACTGTGAGACCTGGTGTGACAGAGGTCTTCTTTGTGAACAGCCGGATTCATACAATACCCAGTGGAGCTTTTGCTGGAAGTCCAGAGCTTGAGAAGGTGGAGTTTATGGAGACAGAAACAAATACTATCGAGCTTGGAGCCTTTGATGGTTTGGTAAAGCTCAAAAGTGTTGAGATATCCACTAATCCGTTGAGGTCAGTGCCTGTAGGTTTGTTTAAAGACAACAGCAATCTGGAGACAATTACTCTAAAGTTTAACAAGCTTGTTCGACTTGAGAAAGGTTTGTTTGATGGTCTAACAAACTTGGTAGAACTACAGCTACATGGAAATGAAATTGAGTTCATTGAAGACCAGACATTTGACGAGCTTGTCAATCTTAACAAGCTCAATTTGGGTAAAAACAATCTTACTTCAGTATCCACAAGCTGGTTCTCAAAGCTGAAAAACCTGGCTGCTATACGGCTATATGAAAATCAGCTCACCACCATTCCTGAGGATCTCTTCATGGAGTTACCAAACTTAGAGGAAATAAGTCTGCAAGGAAACAGGATCAGTGCGCTTTCTCCAAATTTATTTCCACATAAAGGAAAGCTTATTAAATTGATTTTGGACAGTAATCTTCTGACCAGTTTGCCTGAAGAATATTTTGTTGGCTTCCCTAAGGTTAAATTGTTGACCCTAAGAAATAATCAACTGACCAGCCTGCCGCCGGTGCTTTTTGGTGAAATGCCTAAACTGACTGAACTGAGCCTCCAACAAAACAATCTCAGCACGCTTCCTAAGGGAATCTTCAGCTCCTTGAAGAAAGTTAAGAAGCTGGATCTCTCCAAAAATCATTTTGTGAACTTGTCTCCTGATTACTTTGAAGGACCTGAGAAGCTCACTGAGATTAACGTCCAAGGCAACATGATAAATTCATTGGATGCACAACTATTTGAAAATCTTGAATATTTGACCACAATCAAGCTAGCCAACAATGACCTTCAGACACTTTCTGGGGATGTTTTTGACTCTTTGACTAAACTCAAAAAACTCGACCTTAGTAACAATCCATGGCAATGTGACTGCAATCTGATAGATTTTTATCACTGGATAAAAACCAATGCCGATAAGCTCACACCGAAGGTGCACTGTGAGTATCCAGAACATCTGAAAGGACAGGAAATCACATTGTTAAACGAGGATCAGTTAGTTTGCCCCACTCTCCCACCCACTACCACCACCTTACCGACCACAATACCAACAACAGTCCAAACAACAAAACCGACAACCACTCTCACTACCACCACACTGCGCACTACAACATCCACCACCACTTTACCCACCACCACACCCACAACAACAACCACAACTACGATGCCAGCAACTACTCCTACTTCCACCACAGTACCAACAACTACATCAACGACAACTGAGAGTACAGTCATGACAACGAGCCCCACGACTATCGCCACGACAACAGTTCCAACGACCACAACAATGATCACAACAACCATGATGACAACCACTCCAACCACAACCCCCACCTCAACAACTACACCCACAACAACTACCCCTACCACTACGACAACTGCACCCACCACCACCCTTACAACTGCCCTGACAACAACTACACCTTTAACAACTAAACAAACAACTACTATAACAACAACAACACTCATGACAACCACCACATTCACAACTACACAATCTACCATGATGACTACTCTACCAACCACAACTACACTTACACCTACCACCAAAGTGACCACATCTATACCCAGGACAGCAAAACCCACAACGACCACACTCCGGACAACCCTTCCAACAACAACCCAACCAGAGACTCCTACTACATCAACTCCTTTTGTAAACTATACTTGTATTCCAGAACCAAAACTGTCCTACGTTCATCACATCAGTAGAAAAGTTCAAGATTGCAAAATGTGGACGATGATCTACACCTCACTGCTTGTGGTTGAGATCACCTGCTCGCTGGTGCTGGCTAAGTTCACCATTTCTCTTTATCGGCTGTTGCAGCGCAGAGAAAGAATGAACCACAGACCCATCAAGCTCACTCACTTTTCCTACAGAAGAGAAGTGATCCTGAAGCCTGTGCAGGAGGCAGAAACCCATCGTCTTCTGCGATCACTATGATAATCAATAAGCCAGCAGAGGTCATTTGACTCAACAGAGCCTCATTAAACCTGCTGTAACCTGCTCCTTAACTCTTTGTCCAGCTGGAGATTAGTAGTGATTCCTCACAAAATTTTGAAGTGATTGCTCCTTTAAAGGTGTCTCAAGTTGATTTCCAATGTTTCATGTTTCATGTTTATTGCTCTCCTTTGGTTAAAAAAAATATTTTGAATATCTTGACTTTTTATGTATAATAATTTGGTGAGTTGTGGATAATTTCTGCTTTTTTATTTTATATACTTAATTATCTAATATTATTACCTTGTTCTTGTCATATTACTGTAAATGACTGAATTTAAATCTGCATTAAATCTGCAATGTAAAAAAAAATCGCTTTGATTGTCTATAAATTATTTAAACAAATATTGGATTTGTGGAAATATAAATATGGGAAACAAAGATTTTGCTCCAGGGCACATTCTTTAAACTCAATGGTAATGTTCTTTGAATCTATAGCAACACAAATACTCATTTCCTACGACTATTTAAGTGGTGATTTTCCTCTTATTTTATAACAGTGATGTAAAATTAAATGGGAAAATCTTGGAGTAAAAATATAACATCAACAGAATCTATTTTTGGACAGCACTAATATTATGCTGATGTCAACACAGCCGCATTATAAACAGCAAGTCATTTGTGGAGAACATGTTCAGTGTTGGAACAGGAAATCTGGATAACCGCCACTAGAGGGTAGCTTTGAGTTAAAAACAGAGTCTGACTTTTCCACCTAAAACCTTCTTATAATGTCAAAACCTTCATAATGCTCCCCGTTATAATGGCAGGTTCTGCTTTAAATTAACCAATGCAGACAAGATATCTAAGCAGGAAGGAAATAAATTGTTTATATTTAATGAGCTTCAAACAAGTCTGTTTGAAACATGACAACTTGCACAATTATCTCTGCAGTTACGGAGCAGTTCTGAATAAAAAGAAAAAAAATGCTGTAAAGTTGTGCCTCCAGCTCAGAAAAGTGATTTAAAGAGATTGAATTGGGCTAACATAGATGTGCTTTATCAAGTGTAACTCAGTGCTTTTCTGTAAGACAAACAGAAACAGAAAGAAATGACTCAGTTACATCAGACGTGGGAGATCGGATACTGAAGAGGCAAGAAGTAATGTTACAACAATTTATTACCAAAACAATGTGTAAACCAAAGGTTTTCACAATATCATTTTCATACCTCCCACAAGTCTCTCCCACTGCAAGTGCAAAAGGAATCCAAACAGACACTTGATGCGGAAGAGATCCAAAATGTCGAGAAACACAGAAAGTTGTGCCTCTGAATATTTCATCTCACTCTGAATTGTTGTGTAACATGCAGTTAGTCTTTGTCCATGTTGCATCACAAAGCTTTTCTCATCTCTTTACATAGCATGCAGTCTGGCACGATTTCAAATATTAATCCAGAACAGCAAGACTGGTGGGTTTTACTTGTCATGTATTGATGACAGAAAAAGTTTTGATGATTTTTGGCTGTTTAGAAAAGCAAAAATAATAATATCGTAGTAAATACACTACTGAACACTATTAAGCTAGTTACCTTAAGGAAAATACTTGGTGCATTACAAAGCCTATGCTGATATGATATAGGGTATAGCATGCATAAACAAACATGAGATGAAAACAAGAATTTAATGATGAAATGTGAATGTTTATGTGAATATTCTTATTGGCATGTTGCTTATGCCTAAACCTGTTCAGTCATTACATTGTCCATTTCCTAATTACTCATGTATAATGATGGCTTGCTAATTGTATTTAATGCATGTTGATTTACCTAAGTAATGTCATTACTGTTGGTTCTCTTGCTGCTGATTTTCTCCATGTCTTCACATATTCTGTTGCAACCTCCTAGAAAAAAAAATCTGGTTTTAAAAGTAAAGTCATTAAACATTTTTAAGAGAAAACTGTCAGCTGAGACTGAAGAGGCGGCATTACTGTGCTGCTCATTTTCAATGAGAAGGAAAAACCTCAGTAATTAGATTTAAAAGTCAGTGTTCAGATCTTCCACCAACTCCATGGTAGTATGGTCTATTTCCACAAACTGTACAGTTTCTTTATGAGCACATCAGGGCATACAAAACACTACAGTCAATTTTTTTAACACTATGTTATCTGTGAATGAGTGATGACGTCATTGCTACTCAGTGACAATGATATAGAGATGCATGTAAAGCTCCATGGGGCTCAAACATCTTTTGTTGTTTTTATTCTCCCATGTGATTTAGCTGGAGTTACCTGACAACTACAGAAGCTAAAGAACAGTTACTAACTCTAAGCTAAAACTAAAGTCTCTGTTCGTAAAGTAGCGTTAAACTCATATTAATCTTCTCTAAATTATTTTTTTTTTCTTTTACCACACAGGTCAACTTTAAATGCAAATGTCTTGAATGCAGCCCACTTTGAGCTCATGTTCCAAGATTCAGGAATATGAGGAAAAAGTCATCCAAGTTCTGCTAATGAGCCTAAAATGTAGATGAGGAGTCAATTGTGTGTGAAAAGGGCAATGTACTGAGGAACATAAAAGGTCGTAAATTGGGAGGAACACATTGCAGCTTAGCTTAGTTATCTCAACTGGAAACAGGTCGAGGTAAACTGGAAGATTTTCAGCTGGGAAGGTGCAGCTGATTACCTGAGGTTAATGGCCAACAGAGGCCTGTGCCAGACTGGAACATCTGACAAAATGTGTCTCTTTGGGCATTATAACTCTCAGTTTTCACCATATTGTGCTTTCTGATTCAATACGAAAAGTTAAACTGTATAAAGCATTTCTATTTTTGCTTTTTGAAACAAAAATAGAATGAAGAAAATGGCATAAGAAAATATGTTTTGATGAGATGTTGCATTGTTTTTTAGTACAATTTTTTGAGTGAGATTTTTTAGGCCAGCAAATCTGGATTTAAAAGCAGCATGCCTTAAAATAGCTTGAGAACTTCTTAAACATCAACTTGTTTACTCTAAGACATGGTTAAAAGCTCAAAGGTACAATTGCACCCATATAAATAACCCAAGAAGGTTATTTTTTTTTCATTAATACCAGATGCAATCCTAATTTAATAAAGTCAATCAAACAGTTAGTATATTATCTCAAGATATTGTTTTTGCAGAGCAAAGCTGCCCTTGTATATGTGAACAACCAGCTTCTCTATATATGTCTGAAATATTGTTCATACAGAGAAGCTGGACATGTTTGGAAAAAAAGAAGAAGAAAACATGAAGAGAAAAATAGATTGTGATCTAGTATTAAAATGACTGAAAAAAATATTTTCTAATTCAAATAATTAATTAAAGTTAGTCCAACAATTTGGTGGTTTTCTGATCTGTAACCAACATATTTTGAAGTCAAACAGTTCATAGTTGCACTGCACTCCTGGCCATAAGGAGTCTCCCACATGCAGAGGAAGCAGGAAACCTTGGCTCTGGTGTCACTCCCATCATCCTCTCCCCAACTTGAACTTCTGACCTCAGGAGTGTCCAGCAGAACCAGCTGAGCCCAATCATTGCCTGCCAGCTGCTCCCCTACAGGCAACATGTAGCTCCAGGAGGCAAAGGTCACCGTGATGCGGTCTCACTTGAGTCTAAAAATGGAAAATACTGCTGATAGAGGCTATATGGAAACTCAGGTCATTTGTGTATGATTTTAAAATTGATCAATGATCTAAAATATAAAATGTAATTAAATTTAAAATGTCTCCCTCTGAGAGGTGCAAATTGACACACAGTTGGTCAAATGTTTTAAGGCTCCTTGTTGCACCTTGAATAGTCACATATAAAATATCTAAAATCACAAATGTGGAAAAAAATGGCTAAGCTCCTGGGTTGCTGTGGTGGTGCAGGGGCTAAGCGCATCTCACAGAAGGAGGCTTTAGTCCTCGATGTGGCCGTCGCAGGTTTCATTCTCAGCCTGGTGACCTTTGCCGCATGTCTTCCCCTTCTCTCTTTACCTACTTTCCTGTCTGAGCACTTTCAAATAAAGTCCACTAGAGCCATTTTTTTTTAATGTTTAAGCTCCTGCTATAATCCATTGTTCCATTCTTCCAATATTTTACAATATTGCCCCACAAAATATACTATTGCAAAACAATGTTCCTATCCTATTTCTCAAAATCATTCCAGTGAAGAAATGTTTCATCAACAACATATGAGAAATGGTAGTCTTAATCCTAAAGCAGAGCTAAACTCTCTGAAGCTCAAAGTGTTAAGTGTGACTCAGAATGCACTAGTGTCTCAGAACAAATCAAAATTGTAATTTAATAAAGGTCCGATTAGGTGCTCTATTAAGCTCTGATTTATTTTACTGGATCTCATTATGCCAGGTTTCTCTTGTAAAGTGCTCATACATCATGCGGGTTGCTGGTTTATAAAATGAAATTATACATCACATATTTTGATTAACGCTCTCAATAAAGAATGAAAAAAGAACAAAGAAGCCATTGCCCCTAAGCCTGCATTAAAAAGACCATCAGTCACGCGTTGCGATGAAAATGTGTTGATACACAGGGAGAGTTTATAAACTATTATGACTGCAGAATGTTTTGATTTAATCCTCCTGTACTCTTCAGTGACAATTACAGATGATAAAGTCCACGGCAAAGGATTTATAATAAAAAGCACACCAGAATTGATGTGAAGATGAATCTTGTATGTTACTCTGAATAGCCATGCCAACAGCCGAGCTGCCATAACAAGAAAGAGTAATAGCTTCATATAATGACTTGTCAGAACTGGTATGAAAAAATGAGATATAAATAGCCCGACTTGCAGTTAAAAAAAAAGAAAAAAAAAGACATGGCTATTTTTACTGTGCCATCTTCTCTTCTGTCTAATTTTAGTTAAAAAATGAGTCCTCCTAGCTGTCCAGGCACTGCGCTCATCCATCTGCAAAAAAACCTGCACGTATTACTGGAAATGAACAACTCTGGGAGTCGTCATATATTCTGACACTTCTGGCAGAACTGCAGCTCTCAAAGTCAAATCGGTTTGCCTCTTTTGATTAAAGTGAAGCATTTCGACATTTCTGGGATTTCTGATGTTAGTCCAAACCCCAGAAGAGATAATGGTGTCACTGACTTAACGAGAAGTTTCACCTTCGCTGCACCCCTGGAGGAAACGGAGGCATTAGCCCACCGTACTGGATACACTTCTGCTACTCAGCTCCAGCTTCTGCAGGCCAGCAATTTGACTTGTAATTGGTCGGTGCAATTAGAGCAATTTACTCTGTTCTGTTCGCGGACCCCACAGGAGTGCAGTTTGGGTCAAAAGCTGAAAAGTGGAGGCTTAACGTTTAATTAGAGGAAAATGCAGAGATGTGCTGTTTTCATCCTGACATGCAGACAGACTTCCAGAAATTCAATACTAAATTGTAAAGTCATTGCAGAGACCAATTCAATATCAAATCTCAAACAATTGCTGAATAATTATAGTACTATGAAAAAAATATTTCCCCTCTAACACATTCCTATTGTGTTTGCTTTTCTCTGTCACAATTAAATAATCCACATCTTCAAAAATATGTTTTCAAATAAATAATTTATCAAGGAAATATGTTAAGCAAAAGAACCTGGCCTCATCTTCAAATATAATCACCCCTGTGTTAAATGATAGACCGATGGTGATGATACATTTTTGGTTCGGATGCACTGGAGGCCGCGCCAGTACCAGATTATTGCCAACCTGTAGAAATAAGCCTTCATTAACAATACAAACACTGTCTGAAAACATAACCTGAAGAAATTAAAACAAGAACTCTGTGGAGTGACTAAAACTTTTTTTGCAGCTCTGTGCAAACATTGATTGAAATGATAAGCTCTTTTATTTTGGTGATGTTGCTCTGAACTATTCAGTTTCCTTTAACTTTTTATGAACCTCTGTTTAAGTGACTAAAGATTTTTTGCCAATAAAAGCATTCACACGAGATTCTTGAAGTGTTTAAGTGTATTGAATTATTGTATTGAATCAGAGGTGCACTTTTTGTTTTGGTTCGTTTTGTTTTGTTTTGTTTTGTTTTGTTTAGCAGCGCAATAAGCGATCTGACCTCAGGGTGAGCCTGCCTCCATTTCCTCTCCTGAGAGGATTTGGAGCTTATCTAAATGTTTTTCATTTGA